AGAGCATCACTCAGAAGGATAGAGGAGATGACAAAGATACCACGTACAACAGTCAGTTATTATCTGCACAATTATTTGAACTACAAACTAGCGTATACACGTTGGGTTCCGCACAACCTTAATTCAGTTCAAAAAAAATCTAGAGTCCAATCTTCGAAAGAGCTCCTCTCTATATTGGGTGCGTACCAATCCAAGAAGTTTCGCTTTTTAGTAACAGGGGACGAGTCTTGGTTTCAATATGCAACAGAAGCCAAAATCATGTGGATCCCGAAGGATGAAAATCCGCAAACATTCCCGAAGAAAAAAATTGACACACCAATGATGATGTTGTCGGTTTTTTGGGGCGTGAATGGCATCATCGCAATTGATATTCTTCAAAAACCTAATACGATGAATGCTCAGTATCTAATTGACAATGTTCTTACTCAAATTATCAATTCTGATGAGTTTGAGAAATCCAAACAACAAAAACAAAAGTTTGCAATTCATTTTGATAATTCAAGAGTTCACAAAAGTCATAAGGTAATGAATTACTTGGTGGAAAACAATGTCAAAGTTGTTCCAAACCCAATTTATTCACCTGATATTGCACCCTCTGACTTTTATTTATTCGGCACGCTAAAAAAGAGAGCTGAAGGACGCGAATTCGCGAGTCCAGATGATCTTGAAAATTTTGTAAGAGAGCAATTTGAGCAATTTTCTCATGATGATTTAAAGCGTGTCTTTCAAGCCTGGATCGATCGCTGCGAACGCGTGATTGAATCCAATGGTGATTATATTTAAATAAACTTTATATATATGTAACTTGTTTATTTCTATTCGCAGTATTCAGGTTTGTGCTAAACACACCTTTGGACACCCTATAGAAAGAAATAATTTTTCTAAGTTTATTTTTTCAAAAAATATTTTTTTATTTCCTACTAAAGATGTATCGGAAGTTGTCTAAGTTAGAACACTCGGAAATAAAACAACTTCTAACAGAAGCTAACATAGAAGTAGCAAAACATTACGCGACAAACAAAAAAGCACTCGCTGACATCCTCAATGACTATAATGGTGCAATAAGTTATGATAGAATTCATGAGTTCATAAAGCCGCAACGCGGCGAGGACGAAGTCCATGCAAGAGCATTTCCTTTAAATGACGTTGCTATTGACTTATATCATAGACGTTCAGTACCTCATGAAGTAAGAAGAGAAATGTGTGACATAACAAATGCAAACGTTGGTGAAACAAGAAGAAGAGACGACACACTGAAACAACAGAGAAGAGAGATGTTTAAGAGCGCTATAGAACAAGTTCGCAAAGCTAACGATGTCCTTCGTTCCATTGACGACAAACCAAAAGAAGGTGAGAGATGGTTAAAGAAAGATGAAGAGAATAGGAAGAGGAATGTTAAGACAGGCAATAGACTCATTGACTTTAACATCGAAGCTTTAGATGAACCAAACAGAGACTACTTACACAAACATTTCGGTAAGGTTTTCATGAGACTCTTAGAGAAGATTAAAATAAACTCCCAACAAAGATGGATGGTATGTTATAAACTTGGTGGAAAGTATGAATGTTCTACGTTAAACCTCAATAATATTGGAACATTACTACATCAGCTCTTGAAGGAGAACTTTATATCAGAGATAGAAGCAAATGCTGCAGGTATTGTTGAAATGCACTATGACTTCTTCTTGACAAACATAAAGAATCTTACCGAAATAAAGATGTATGATTTAACAGAATATGAAGGCTTAACGATGTCAGATGTAAAGAAAGGCAAACCAAAAAAGAGACCATATAGAGATGAAAGCACACTGACAAATGACCAGAAAGCCATTTTGGAAGCTCTTAAGCAAACAGGAAACCCAGCACTTATAGAAAGCTTTTGGAAAGATAATGGCGAAAAGAAGTTTTATAAGAAGAGAAGCGGTCAGTTCTGGAAGTATCTTTGCACATTACCTATAAATCTTGAGCGCTACCAAATCTTCAATGAATTGAACAAAAGAACTGCAGCACTTATGACAGAAGACAATTGTTTCGTTTATGCTTGCATTCAGGCTGGAGTAAATGAAGAAACTATTGACCACATGCGTGAAGTCATTCGTGTTAGAGACTTTCCTCAAAGTAAAGTACAAGAAATTTCTGACGCAACAAGTATAGCATTTAATGTTACCATTGGTTACTTCAATGACTCAAGACATAATGAAATAAAGAGATACATACCAAAAGAATGTAAAACTATTCGAACTATTGACTTACTTCTTGTTGAAGACCACTACATGCTAAATGAAAGATTACCAATGACAACATATTTCATTCGCAACTATATAGAAATCTTGAAGGAGTGTGGTGGAATGAACATTGAGAAACAGATGAAGATTTATACAAAGAGAGAGAACAAATATGTAGTTCGTTATGATAGAACAACACCGTTATGGGATGTTATGAAAACATTGTGGGAGTGCAAATATTTCGAACCTATTTCTTATGGAGAACTTTTCACATATACGACTGACTTATATAAACAGAACCTTGCACCATTTAAAGATTTGACATATGCTCCAAAGTATTGTGTACAACTGAAGAAGAAAGCCGAGTCAAAAGAAGTAAATAAAGCTAAATGTAAGTTCATTCCTGAGCATGTTTTCTTTGCTGACTTTGAGTGTAGCACAGACGGCTTTCATAAAGCTTTTAACATCTGTTATGACAGTGAAGATGGTTCAGTGAGTGAAAGCATTTGGGGTCAGAACTGTGCAACAGAATTTTTGGAGCGACTTCCTGACAAGAGTTTAATATATTTCCATAACCTCAGTTATGATATAAACTTCATCTTAAGACACATGACAGAAGTGAAAGGAACTCCCATCATTAAAGGTTCACGAACAATGCAAATAACTGGCTTATATAAAGGAAGGGCAATTATTATAAAAGACTCTTACAGTGTTATAAATAAGAAGCTTAAACTATTTCCTGCTATGTTTAACTTACAAACAGGACCGAAAGAAGTATTTCCATACAACTACTACAGCAGTGTTTTGTTAGCAAATGATAACAAAACTGGTGTCATTTCTGAAGCATGTAAGTTTATCCAGGATGCGGATACATTCATGAAAAACATAGATTCCATCAAAGGTTGCAGAATAGATGAAAACCACTTCGACTTAGAAAAGTATAGCACATTCTATTGCAAACAAGATGTAAGAATTTTAAGAGAAGGTTTTGTTAAGTTCCGCAATGACATATTGAAAGAATTTGATTTAAACGTTTATGACTACGTTAGCATTTGTTCAATTGCTAACAAATTATTTGAGAACAGAGTGTACTTCCCGAATGGAAATTTATATGACCTCTCAAATAAACCAAGAGAGTTTATTTCACGCTGTATTCAAGGTGGAAGATGTATGCTGTCAGATAACATGAAACAAAAGAGCGAAAAGAAACTCATTGCTGATTTCGACGCTGTTTCATTATATCCATCAGCTATAGCAAGACTTTATACTTTAGAAGGAATTCCAAAGGTTATGAAGAAAGAAATGTTAAGCACAGAGTATCTCATGAGACATTTATTCGATGACGACCAAAAGGAACCCATTGGTGAAAAGTTTGTGTCTGGCTTCTTTGTTCTCATTAAGATAACAGAGATTGGAATACATAGACACTTTCCTTTAATAGTTTGTGACCCTGAACTAAATCCAGAACTTAACGTTCCCAGAAGTTCAAACACTTGCTGTTTAATGTATGTTGACCATATAACATTACAAGACCTCATAAACTATCAAGGTGTCAAATGTGAAGTGTTGCAAGGATACTATTACAATGGAAACAGAGATATTAGAATAAGAGATGAAGTAAAGAAGTTGTTTGAGTTAAGGTTAAAGTATAAGAAAGAAGGAAATCCTTTGCAAGAAAATATAAAGCTCATTCTGAACAGTATTTATGGCAAAACTATTCTATCTCCTATTGAGTCAAAAATAACCATAGTAAATGACAAAGATGCTATAAGATATGCCATCAGAAACTACAACCATATAGTGAAGTTCGAAGGTTTGGATGGTTCAGATAAAACTATTTTCAAGCTAACGAAAAGCATTTGCAGACACTTTAACTTCTGTCCACTTGGTGTTAACATTCTGTCTATGTCGAAGAGAATAATGTGTGAAGTATTCTGTACTGCTGAGGACTTAGGAATGGACATCTTTTATAGCGATACGGACAGTATGCATCTCTACACTGAAGATATCCCTCGTTTAGCTGAAGAGTTTGAGAAACGTTATGGAAGAGTTCTCATTGGTAAAACATTAGGTCAGTTCCATTCTGACTTCGCAGAAATAACACCTGGAAAACAAAGTTTAGCATACAAGTCAATATTTTGTGGAAAGAAGACTTACATAGACTTACTCACGAATGATTTAAATGAAGTTGCATTTCACTGCAGAATGAAAGGCGTGAAGCAAGATGTTATTGCTTTAACCGCTAATGAAATGTTTCCTGACTCTGTTCAGTGTTTCTATGATGAAGATAAAGGTTTAATGGTTCCGCAAGGAACATATGACAAAGACTCTGAGTTCAGTTTAATGAAACTTTACAAAGCACTTTATGACGGTCAAGAGATTGCATTCGACTTATGTAAGTCGTGTCAACCTTGCTTTGCTGAAAAGTTTAACTTCTCAATAACGACTAAAACAAGCTTTATTCGTAAGTTGAAGTTCTGAGGTCATTTATTTTTGTCAGCAATGAGGTCATTCGTGATAAAAATAAAACTAGCGTAGATTTTACAATACTGCGATGGTAGAGTTTAAGAGTTGTGCTTCAATGTAGAGACAGTCCTTATGGTCTGGAGGTAAGAACACTGGGCAGTTATGGTCATGAGTGGAGAACATGTCTATCCAAAACTCACGATTGAAGCCAGTTAATTTATAGTATTTAGGGTTAGGAAGTGGTGAAGTTCTTGTATGACCAATGAACTCATTTTCAACTCCCTTACTTAAGTTTGAATATAATATAGCTTACTTTCTATCCCAAATGCCGGGTGTTACAATCTTTGAAAATTCATTTTTCCTCGGAAGCATTGCATCATAATTGAAAACATTTTTGAAATCATCACTTGGTTCAGAGATTTGAAATCTTATACGTAATGGATTTTCTTTCTTTTTAGCGACTTCATTGAATGGTGAGAATACAACAAACTGACAGTCATGAGTTCCATCTTCATTTTCATTAAATTCATAATGAAAGTCTATAAATTGTGGCTGACTACCTTCTTCTTTCAGTTGTGCAAGAAACTCACGTAAAGGCTGTAAAGTTTGTACTTCAATGTTAAACTTTTTCTCGAACATCTCATTAAATGAAGTCATACATTGTAGCAATGTTGTATCGTCTTTAAAGTATTTGTATATGTGAATGTTTTGGGCACTTAAAGACTGTTCGTCATTTTCTATCTCGACTTGAAGTATAAAGTCAACCTTTCTGAAAGCACGTGTTATATACATAGATGTTATGCCAATGTACTTCTCTTCATTTATGTTCACAATCCAGTCTGTTGGAAACTTAAACGTTACTCTGTTCCCCTTTATTTTGACGTCAGGGTTTTCACTACTGAACGCAACAGATAAAGGTATTTGTCTATACATTTAATTCGGATAAAAATAAACCATTTACTCTTTCTTTGCTTCAGCTTCTTTAGCTTTTGCTTCAGCTTCTTCTCTAGCTTTTTTCGCCAGTAGTCTTGGGTTCTTTTGTCTTCCAGCAGCTAATGCAGCAAGTTGTTTTTCACTAAGTTTTCTCTTTGGTCTCTCTGGCTTTTGTTCTTGTTTTTGTTCCTTCAGTTCGGATAAAATTTGCTCACGAATTTCTTTCTTCAATGCTTCAACATCTATGACCCCTTGGGTCTTGTCCGTAGGACTTGTCTGAGTCATTTGACTGCAGATAAAAAACAAAATTAAAACTTTAACCGATGTAAAATGAGCTTGTCAAAATCAGAGCGAGAGTCTATTATATTAAATGACGCAAGAGGAATACAACATCCTTTCTATTATGTAAGTCAGAGTAAAGATGGTAAAATATACGTAAGAAAAAGAAAGGTTCCATTAGCGAATGCAGAAAGCGACAACATTAAGGTGTATGGCAAGGGTGAAGTCCACGAAGCCCATATTAAGCCTTCTATTCAAACTGAAAAGTCAATAGAACCAGAAGAAAAGAAGCCAGATGTACTTTCAATAACGAACCAAGAGCTTATTGCAAAGTTTGTGAATTTCATTGAAAAACAAACCGAGTCAAAGAATCCTGACCCGCCAGTGAAAGAAGTTGAGACAAAAGAGAATGTACAGTTCATTGAAAATGTCAAGAAACAACTTCCACCACGAATGCCAAGAAGAAGAGTGAGAATAATGAAGTAAATAGATATTTTTATCTGAAGTAAATACATGCAGAACGAACAGTTAAACGAATTTACTCCAGCAGAGCATATTCATCAGATTCGCTCATATTTCGATATCATAGACAATGCAGTTCAAATTGGTGACACTAATAGAAAATATTCTGACGCAAAGATTCCATCACAACCTGGAACTGCTAAAGATAACACATGGGTAACATTCAATCTCTCACCTCCTGGTGAAAATATGTTGGACCTTTACAATACATTCATTACGTATAAAATGGAAGGTCAATTTATTGTAGATAAAGAAATTGGTTCAGGTTCCAATAAAACAAACCCACCAGGATTTTGGATTGGTTTCGATGACGCTTTCTATGCAGTTGCTGGATATCAAATCCTTGCAAATGGTCGTATTGTATATTCTCAAGACAACGCAAGAGAAGAAGCATATATAACTTCAAACTCACAAACTACCGAACAAATAAAGAAAGTAGATGTTTTCTCAAAGACTCGACATGAAGATGTATGGAGTCATTCGGGAACATGCAGAACAGGACAAATTGTTAGTGGTCCAATTACAGCAGGAAAATCATTTGATTTTAAGCTTCGTTTAAGAATTCCTGTTAGAAAATTCCTTCCATTAGAAGCTATTCGATTTATTCCAGCTTTTGCAGGAAACATTCAGCTTAAAGTAAAGTTCAGTAGCGACGCCTTACAATGCACATCTATATCTGTAAATGATATCATTGCTTTCAATCCAACTCTTAAAGTTGCATTTGCTTCAGATTCAAATCCACCGACAAATAAATTTGTTCCATGGAATGAACCATTCACTATGATAACGAAGGCAGTAGAAGCTAGTGGAACAGTTACTATTACAACTGTAACCCAGCAACTATTTCGAACAAAGATGGATTTTAATGAATGTTTCATTCATCCAAAGTCATTCTCTTTAGACCCTAACATTTATACAGAACTTGTAGAACATTATACAAACGAGGCTTTATGTTTTCCTGTTAAAGTTATGGATTGGATTCCTATGGACGGTTCATTCTCAAAGAATACAGATAGTTCAAGTGCAACATTTACAGCAGCTTATACGCCTATTAATGTTAAAAGTATTTGGGCACTATTTAGAAAGAAAGACAACTATTATGTTAATTTTGAGAACCCTAAGTTTAAATATCTTCAGCTTTCCATGGGAGCTTATGGAAATATGCCTGCAGAACCTGAAAAATCATATGGACCTGTATTTTATGAAATGGTTGCGAACGCTTGCAATACAAACAATGATATGATAGGATTTAATGAAGATGTTATGAGGTCATTGGTGGATGATGGTAGTGTGGAACATAAATGGGATAGCTATGACAACACACATTTCTTATGTGGTTTTCCAACAGAAGTGGACTTTTGCTTCCAGCAAGGTCAAACATCTACTGCTCCAATAACATACAAATTGTCTGTTAAAGGACCTATTGAACTAGCAACTGAAAATGTACCAAAGCCACTTATTGGATTTATGAGGGATTGTTGCTTTGCCATTCAGGTGCGTGCTAATGGCATCCCCATAATAAGATTAGATGACTATAACTTAGCTACGGACGACAGTGAGGAATAAAGGATGAACGTTTATTTTTTAAAGCTTATAAATGAGTTCTTCATCAAGCTCTCGTGAACCTTCACCATCTATGAAACAAACTTTACCAAACGATTATGGAGCACCTATTGAATATTTCTTACGAGCTGCACAATGGCAAAGAGCAGTCTCACCAAGGTTAGGTGTTCCACCAGCTCCTGTCAAAAATAGCATTTGGTCAAGTCCTTATATAAGATATGGTCTCCCACTAGGTTTGCTAGCTACAGCAGGAGCAGTTATGATGTTGAAAAGAAATAAAGCAAATGTTGTAAATAATACTGAAGTAGCTGAAGTTAAACAAACTCCGACACCTTCACAAGCAAAACCTTCAATGCCTCCTGAACCTATGGAAGTACAAACTCCTGTTCAAAAGTCAACTCCTAAACCGACTCCAACATTTAAACCAGAACCTACTCCTCAAATAAATCGTAAAACTCCTGCGTTTCCTTACTGAAAAAATAACGTTATTTTTATTTTATTTGAACATTTTATTTAGAGTAAAATGACGACTAAAGTCACTGAAGCAATGAAACAAAAGTTTTTGGTAGAATACATTAAATCAGGAACTATTCCAGAAGGTTTTTACATTCATACTATGAAGGATGGTAGAGTTCAGTTTAGAAAGATAAAGCAACCATTAGATAAAGAAGGAATTTTGAGAAAGATTAAACTTCATGAGGACAACATTGCTGAACTTAAGAAGAAGCTAGAAGAGTTGGAGAAAGGAAGAGAGTTATAAAGCAATGAATTCAACAGGATAGAAATGAGGTTAGAAATCGGGTTAGATCTACCCATCTACCCTAAATTTATTTTTGTGCTATGCTTTCATACGTGTGAGGGTGGTGATATCATTAATTTTTAAGTTTATTTTTTATTTTACTGAAAATTTTTATTTGGATGTAAATGACAGAACAAAAGCAACTCATTCGAATTCCACAGTATAACAAACATACATTTAAACATTTATTCTTCCTTCCTGAGCATAACATGTTCTTTCAAATACATCCGAGACCAGTTGACTTTTCATTGACTGTGTATAAAGATAGAAATAGTTATATCATTAAACCATACGATGACGAAGGTAAGTTATGTAAATTGTACGTTAAGAAGTTAGAGAAAGTTTATGGCTTCAAGTATGACTACAATAGGGTTAACACTGATGATGAAGATATTGAGGAAAATTTATGAGAACATTAGTGAAGTCGTTAGTGAGAACGATAGTGAGAACGTTTATTTTTTTACATTAGTGAAGTCGTTAGTGAGGTGAAATGGTTGGCGGCTTTGTAAATATTTAAGGTTAAGTTAGTTTTTGCGTTTGTGTTGTAAAATATACGTTAATGGTTTTGTAAAGTGTCAAATTCACAAGTATTGGGTAAGGTGGAACGCAGTGCCGCCGTACTTTTAAATCCCTCAACATTTTGATAATAAATCATCAATGCATTACGTAGTCTAACATAAGACAGTATTGTTTTATGTTAAAATCAAATACTGAAGCAGCGATATGCGCTTTGAACATTTTTTAAAATAAAAAGTGACAATATTTATCAAATTAAATTCAAAGTCAGTAAAAAGAATTCTTTGATCATCAATACAATCATATATTTTATTTTTAAAATCAAATAAGCAAAAAAGTAAATCAAAACGAAATTAAATTTTATTAATTTGGAATTTGGGTTTCTATTTCACATACCTAGCCTACCAAAACATAATATTGATTATTTTTGACTAAGTTTAGTTGAAAATACAATTTTGCAATGATATTCTATAGAAGGAGTTATAATACTTGATTTTTTTCTTAGAGAAGACATGTTGCAGGTTACAGAGTACTAATATTCATTATGTGTAGCATAAAACCATAAATTTATATATATATGTATAAAATTAATCCATTTGACTCGGTTTTATTATTTTATCATTTATTCACATTAGAACATAACTCATCTTTGTTTCTGAGATCTGATACTATTACTCAAACCTTACCATTTATTATAATTGAGATTTGCAATATATTCCATTTTTTATTTCTTTGAGATACACAACTAAACACATTAAAAACTGTATATAAACATCTAACACAATTATATGACAATGTCAAACACATCTCTTACCATTTAATAAAATTAGATAAAGAATCTCCAAAAATTAAAATATGTGTTTTTGCATTCATTTCTATATTTTATGCATCACTATAGGTATTCCGATATGCGCTCATGAATTATATCTGCGATATGTCAAAAACAACTTTAATCTAATGTGATCAAGTTGCATGATATACAACAATACATCCACTTCATATCAACACGATTCTATATATAATAGCGCATGTTCCTATCTAATTTAAATTGTCAGAAATGAATTGTACAAATTTTAAATCAAAGATTATTATTGTCGTCTGACGACAATAATAATTTTGTCACTTTTTCTATACGACAATAAAACATCCTCAATAAATTTTATCTTTCAATTGATATATTTTAGTATAAATATAATTGTAATTAATATTACGCTTAAAACAATTTAATGCACGTTAAATTTTTCCATTTTTTGAATACGATCGGTCAGATATATCGGAAAAGCATGATATTGTTATTGTTGATGAATGCAGAATATACGTTGAAATAAAATAAAATAAAAATACGATGGATTGAGAGAATCAAAACAGTTTCTTATCAAAATTTCTGTCATAGTGTATATCCATTGTATTGCTACTATTAAAAACGACACGCGTTTAACATCAAGATACAATTGGACGATATTAATTCAAAAGATTCAGTCATTTAATTTTGATGGATTCTTCGTTTGGTGATCCCAGTTTAAGCTCAACTCAATTAAGACAAAAGGCTTTTCAAGTTATTAAGCAATCAGATCGTCCAATGGCTTCCTGCGAAATCGAAAAGTGGATTCGTAATAATGACTACGATCTCTGGTCTAGGGTTTCTTCAAAGTGTAAAGATTACGTATGTGTTATTCTAAGTCAAACACGTGGTAAAACCATTTCAAAGTTCAAAGCTTTGAAGCCTATACCAGGAATTGATAAGAGATCTACCTTCTACGGTATATATGGAAGGAATTATCCATCTGATTCGTGGATGCCTACTAATGATGGTGCACGAGTCAAATCAAGAAAACATGATGATGACGCTTATGATGATGAAATTTTATACAGTAATTCAAAGGAAGAAGCCTCCCAATACTCTGATGAATCAAACGAGCCTATTACCAAGATTTCGGTTATACCTATTCACGAGTCACCTAAGCCTGTAGAAAAGAAAGACCGCGTACTCTTGACACCACTTCCTCCTTTCAGACTTCTCTGTGGACTTAATCCACTATTTCCATCGTTCATAACTGGCAATCCAATGATCTTTAACATGGAATTGAACCCTATTCAGCTTCTTCTTAACTCTCAATAATGGGATTATTTAGTTGTTTTATTGTTTGTTGTTTGGTATTGAAGTAAAACACTTTCGAATATCTTTAACTTTATCTTTTTCCTTTTAATTATATCCGAAATTATCTGAAATCTATTTTATATGAAATTTATAAGAAGGAATAAATTTTATCGAGAAATAGCTTAGATAATATCAGTGAACGTAAATACGAAATTTCGAAATTTCAGATTAAATTCAAGGGTATTTCAGCTATAATCATTCAATCTCAAAATTTCCCTCAAACCATTAATATATCGTCAGTCTATAACCCAATAAAAATTCATAATCCGCAACCAACGATTTTCGTACTAATAGATGATTTTATAAATTGAGAACTGCCAAAAATTCTTTTCAATCAATTCTGACGGTGGTTTTTAATAATCGATTGAATATAAGCCTAATTACCAATAGAATGAAAACTCTACTGCCAACTCAAAATAAATTGATAAGGTACTGATTTATTTCAAAGGACGTTCGAACAAAATGCATTGTAATAGATATTGCATCATATTTTATCTAAAATTTTAATGATTATTTATCGTTAAATTTCCCAATAAAATATGAAATCAGTCAAAATACTTGGGATCATATTTGAAAATTTATCCATAAGTATTGCTAAAAAAGGTACATTCACTATTTTTGACAAAATTTTAAATTTTCATGGGGTTGTAAATCTTATAATAACTAGATGAATAAGGAATGAATCCCAGTATAATGTGCATCATTATATTAAACACTATATGTAAGGCTAATGATTCTATTAACACTTATGAAAATCTATAGTATTTGAGCAGATAAATTTGATAATTTCCAAAACTCTTATATTTCAAAATTAAAGTGTGCGAATGCATTTAAATGAGAGCAAAAAGAGATTGATGCTGTTAAAATTAGGTGTTAATTTGCAATTATTTCGCATCACAAGAACTACCCAGTAAATTCGGCTATCTTTCTTTGCAATTATTCTCCATTATACATATAATATAATGGTTAGGGTTTGAAGAAAAGTTACTAGAGAATTATTGACTTTTGAAATAATGCAGAATTTTACTTGAAGAAATCATTAATTTATGAGTTCCAAATTGCTAAGCATGACGAAGGATCATTAAATTTGCTACAATTAAATACACTTATTGCAGAATTAAGATTTTTGAAATTAAAAGTTTGAAATATTGCCTTTTTGAATAAAAATTTAAATTTTATTATATAATCATGATAATATCTTATAGAAATTAAAAAAAATATTTTAAACCATTCAAATATTTTGAATGTCTTATCAATTTAAAATATTAAAAGATAGCTTGATTTTATCATCATTAGTTGTTATCAAAGTTTTCTTCTTTTGATGAACAACAGTAAATGATTTGTTAATTACTTGTCTTCCTTTTTCGCAGCAAAATCGAAAGTTATGATGATAATCTTGCTGTCAATTTTGAAACTCTCTGATTTACAAGTAAGCATTCCTTTGGAAAAGCAGTCCTATTCTGTTTTCAAGATATTTTAAAGCTTCCATTTCATACAATGCGCAGATCTATTCGAAATTGCAAGAACTCTCAAGAAAAATGCAGCAGCAAAGAAGATTCCATAGTTTCTAGCATCAAAAATTTACAACCTTAATACAACAGTTAAAGAGAAGCTCGAAAAGAAAATATTTAACCATAAAGCTGGAAACCATTCGATATCTACTATTGGATCTAATAAAAAGTTAATTATAACATATTTAACATGCTATTTGTTGACTTTGTTCCATTATATTACCATATATATCTTTTTGAAATCTAAAATATTTTTACGATTTTAACCATGTGTTGTTGAAACCATATATCAATCTTAGCTAAAGTATAGTTTATGAGTCTGTCACCATCTAACGTATGAATTTTCAAAAATGTCAAATATGTTCATTTTTTCTGTAGATTCAGCCATAATTTCACGTTGTTATACTATTCAACTATTATTTAATATTTTTATCGATTTAAATATATGATGAGATGCTTAGTTCTCCTGGAAATCGATTTTTAATCGCAATTTTAACTTTCCAAAAAAAATTCAAAAATAAAAATCCCTCTCAATTTTCTAAGTTTTATAACTCGCCAAATCTCTAGCCAAATTTTTTTTGGCCCGTATAAATATTGTTAGGCACTATATAGGGATGCTATTTATCCTATTTTCATCCCATTTTACTGTTATCGCCTAGTGAATGTACCTTTTTGCTAAATATAATCACTATTTTTCTGTATAGATTGGCCGGTTTTTGATCGTTGATGGGAAAACATTCACAAAGAGCGGAAATAAAAATTGCATACTAACTCCATATTTTTTATTAGGCATCTATATCCAATGGATTTCCTTTCACAACTCCGCTTTTTTTTCTTCTCAAATGTTTCTTTCTTTGTACTAAGATATGAGTTGCAATGCATTCGTTATTATTGTTTCGAACCTCAACTTTTTAAATTAATTTTAAACGATTTACTTTGGCTGCTTGATGAATCATTGAAAAAACATTGTTCTTTGCCATTTTCACTGATGCAATAAATGATGATTAGGTCTGCACATTATTATATATTCATATACGCTAATACTCTTATTGCATTAGTAGCGTCGATTTCTATAATAAAACTAAAATTCTGAGAAAATAGAAACATAGTTAAGCTTGATACTTCCACAGAAACCTTATTGGATCACAATTCAAAGAAATATTCATAAGAGAAAATATAGCATATATTTTAAAAGCATTCACTTTGTTCATACATGTAAATTAGTATATAACACGAGCAGAAAAGTGAGCATCTTGACTTTTGTATCGATTTCATTATATCCTTGCGGTCTACAAAAAGTTCCTGATTATGCTCATATATCATTAAAAAGCTAATTAGATGCTTATGTATTATATTTCAGCAGATTCCTTTTGGTATTAGTGCAAATTACAAATTATTATAAAAATATTGTGAATGTTCAGAAACGATGATGGAAATATAAGCATTTATTTCTTTCATAGATAATTTTCAGTATCAAATAAAAAAATAAAAAATTCTAAAATAAAAAATTTTCATTACTCTGCTTTTTGCTCTACACTATTATTATCTGCATTATCAACAATTTGTTCAGCTGGATTTTGTTCTCCAGCTTCTTCTTTCTTTTCTTCAGTTTGAGATTCTGATTTCTCTATTTTTGGCTCTTCTTGCTTTTCTTCCTGAGCAAGAGCATCAGCTGGCTTCTGCTCTTCTTCTGCCGCAGCAGGTTTCTCTTGTTCTCCTGCAGTAGCTTCTTCAGCTGGTTTCGTTTCTTCGGCGGTTTCTGGAGCTTTTTCAGAGGAAAGGGGAACTTCCTCTTTTTGCGGAACTTTTTTCTCTTCCTCTTCTTCTGAATCAGATTCGCTTGGTCCATCAGAGCCTTTAAGTGGCTTTGTGATATCATTTATGATATCAGCCGGATCTGCATCGTTTGAATCAGATGAAAGCCCGCCTTCTTCGTACTGATTATCATCATCAGAGTGGAGAGGCTCTGGAATCAAGATATCATCAGATGTCCTGAGATCTGCAATCTGGAGATTTAATGCAGGAGCAGCAGCCATTTGTACCGGAGCTCCATCTTCTTCATCGCTGCTGCTAGAAGACTCAGGAGGTGCTGGAGCTTCTGTCCTTGATAGGAACTTATGAAGCTTAGCGCAGTTATTCATGTTTACGCTTTCTTTTTCTTTTTCATCTTCATCGTCATCATCACTTGAGGAATCATAGTCATCGGACAGAGAATCCTCTTCATCGGAGTCATCATCAGATGAATCGGAGACGAATCTAAGATCATTTGGGCTGTCATCGCTGTCGGATGAGTCATCATTGTCAGAAGAAGACTGGGTAGAAGATTCAGCAGCACTATCTGATCCTCCATGAGGACGAGAGCCTCCGTATTCCATCTGTCTATTCTGTTCTCTTGGAGCGTACTGAGTATCGATGAAATTACGAAAAGCTTCATTATCCTTTATCTTGTCTTTAAGATATTCTGCGAGTAAAGAAAGGTGAACATTAGTCTTTGTCTTTGGAAACTGTTCGATCATACGATTAATGAAATCTGTTCTTGTAAGGAAATCGTTGAGTTCTGAATCTGTCATATTTCTAATTGAGCGGAATATTCCATCGCAAACAAATGTTGGCTGGCCGTCTGATAAAATGCGAAGTAAGACTTTATCGGATTTTGTGTGTAAAACAAGTAAAGCTGAGGCAAGAACTGAATCGTTCTCAATGCTATCGAAAGAGTATGTTTCTGATTCTTTGTTGACAAGCTCAAGAACAGGGCTTGACTGTGGAACGGCTTCTGCAATGCGATCAATTAATTTGAAGGCAGCAGAAGCAATTAGAGGACGAATCTGTGCGTTCTTTGTAATTGCAAATAAATTCTGTTCAATTTCAACTTTGCAAATTTGATCGAAAATTTGTTTTTTGTTTCTTGTAACGGTATCAAGAGCTGTAAGAATATAAAATCCGTTATCCGAGTTTGCTGCTAATGTAAGTTCATTTAGATATTGCTGGTCAAAAGGAAAATAGGTCGGATATTCAGTTGCAAGATTTGTAAACAATTCTCTGAGACCAAGGTTCCCCATGTTGTGGATAAAGAAGGACTTCAAGGATGGTAAGCTATCCAAGAAATCTCCGGACGAATAGTGTGCAAAAGCTTCAACAATTCGACCGAAATGTCCACAAGCTCTTGGATGGCTTGCATAATCTGATTGAGGGAATGAATTCATTCTATCAATAAAAATTGGATTACCTCGTAGCTTTTGCATGATTGTTGTGCAAGTACTGGATGATAAAACGGTAAGTGCACACCTAGTCGTTTTAGCAGGAAGATCTGTTTGCGGAACAAAATCCGTGAGAACCATATCTAATAGATGGTTGAATTTCTCTTCGTTATCTATTAAAAACGAAATTAATGATTGTAAGTTATTACGAAGTGCAGCATTTAAAGCTTGATCATCTAAAACAGCTTCAACTGATGTTTCTGGTTTAGAAACAAGAGCAGTTATCGATGCTAAATTTGGACCGCCAAAATGCCAGACCTTCATTTGTATGAAAAAAAACTGAGAATTTTTTTCAGTTTTCAAATTTCTACGACCTACTATCATTTTGAAATAATGATGAATTAATGGTGTACTTGCGTTGGAGAATGTGGAAAATCCATTTTCTCATCATTTTCTATTAGATAATTTTTTTTGTTGTTGAAAATGCTTGAGGTCTGAACTCTTCAAATATATAATTGATTCACATTTCTAAATAATATTTGCCAGATAAGTGCAAGTAGAAAATGATTTATTTTTCAAAAATATTGAATCTTCAATTTCCAAAGCCCTCAACAATCATATTATATATCAAAGAGTTAACTTCATTGCAAGATTTAATTAATTATAATAGATTAAGCCTCGCAAATATCAATTTCAATCTCAATAATAATAGCAATTAATATAATTGTTTACCTTGGATAGTTGTTTCTTCAGATTTCATCATATTGTTGATTGTTATTAAAGTCAACAAATTATAACGGAATAGTAATAATATTTTAAATTAACAAACAAAACAATAATATTATATTTTATATCTAACTATAAAAAGCTTCTAAGCTTTCAAGACTATATTTTTCGGAAACTTTGGCTAAATCATTTGAAACATCTTGGTTTCCAATGCTGTAGCGTTCAACAGCTAAATTTGTTAATGTGAAAAGAGGATAAATATCCTCTTGATTCCCAATTTCGCTGGCTAACATCTGTTGAGAAGGAACTAAATCTTCAATTTGCGAAATTGAAATTTTTTGTTGGGTCATGGAAGGAACATCAATCTCAGATCTGATGTAGAGATCATATCTGTTACTCATGATCCCTGAAAAAGTTTGTAGAACTTTTTCGTAACTTAATGTATAAAGAAAACACTTTGGAGCGTTAACAAGGAACAAGTACTCAAGGGTTGGAAGCTTATTGATATTATACGGCAAGTGGAAGATTCTTGCCGATAAATAAATGGCAAATTCATACCTAAGTTTATCAATAAGGGTTGCATCAGGATTTGGTGCTGGTAAAGCTGATGCAATAGCACAACTCTTCTTAAAGAAGTCAGTCAAGAACTTAAATATCTGAGATTCCTTGATATCTTTCATTGCTCTTAAATGTTCTGGATTTGTTGGGGGTTCTAAGAGAAAGGCGGACTGGAAATTAATCAAAGCAGGGGGATACTTCGAATTTGGGCCTTTAACGTTGAAGTAAAATAAAAATAATAAAATAACTGTTGAAAGATGCCAAAATCCTTCAGGACAGTATTCATTTTCAGACTCCACGAGCTCTTCCCAGAATTTTGTCTTGATCAAATTGTTGTATGGAATGATCAAATCAGAAGAAATCAAAGCATCGCGAATAACTTTTTCAGAAGGATAGAATTCAAGAAGAGAACCATATGGAACCATATGAGGAACATATTTTATTAGGTCTTGTGATAAATCCGGACTCATCCACGCATAAACTCCTGAGATGCAATATTCTAAGTAAAAATGTACTAATCCTATAAAGAAATTATTAGGTGCATTGCGAATAATATCCTGTGCAAAGAAAGAAACAAGTGTATGTGCAGACGAAATATGTCCAATAAAATGCCAAGATAATAAATCTCTTGTTTCAAGGATTTTGGCAAATTTGGCCCATACAATTTCAAGAGACAAAAACGCATTTCTATCTTTATCGTAGAAAATCGAAGAATCCGATGTATTTTGTAATAAATTTTGAGGAATTGAGTCGCATTGAAGCTCTTTGTCTTCTACTAGCTGAGTTTTAAGGTCTCCGCTATCAGCATCGATAAAGGCAACGAGTGAACTAGGAACAACAAGTACTAAAATCGAATCAATTAAAGATAACACTGGACTGAGTGAATTTTGATAAGGAATACATGTAGATTTCAATGAGGGATACGAGATAATTGTCGTGGACATATTGGAAACGGTACCAATGACCATATTTCGAGCATTTACGAAGAAAACGTGAGTTGGAACTATGTAATCGAATTTTCGCGGGATTTGGAATGTAAAAACTTCAACAACTTCGTCTTGGATTTGATAAACATGAACGTGTTTCATGTTTTGTTTGTCCAAATTTAATGCCACAACCATTTTCGACTTGTGAACAGTTGTCCACCACAAAACATTCTTTAGAAAGTGGGATTTTCGTGATTGGTATAATCGTGACTCGTTTTGATTGATGACAATGCTGCCTTTTGTCAAAATTTGATCTCCTTCATAGACAAAATGTATTCCTTTTGGGGCAGAAATAAATGAAAACTTATTACAATTTTCTATGGCCATATGTTTTTCGTTTGGGTTTTCTAAATCGATAATATTGATTGAATTATCAAGTAAAAAAGCTATATATCTTTTATCATTCGATAATGTCACGTTTGAAATCGATTTGTTAATACTTCCATTTAAAATTGGAGTAATGGATGGCGGAATTAGATTAAATTTAATAATTTCTACGTCATCTGTTGACTTATCAATCAAAAAAGCACTATCATCGACTGATGTCCCAACAAACTCGTAGTTTTCTGTGGGATTTGGTATAATATCGTCAAGGGTATGCCTGACGACGAAGTTTATCATAAAATTTTTTGACAACATCGGTGTTATATCACAAATTGATACGATACTATTATCCAAAAGTTCAGAAAGCAATTGAAACAGATCATAAAGAAGCTATTTTTACAGTTTATCTTCTGATATATTAAATTGTAAGTGAAAAATTGAGAAATCTGAACTAAAATGCATTGATATTTAAAAACATCATGAAGAATTTTGTTACACACAACAATCATATGGTATTACATGGCTGCTATTAAGATTTAAAGCAAAATTTTAAATTCGATTTCTATTGAATCTGAAATAACTCCATCAAAATGAAATTTTCTGAGAAACATATACATATACATTTTAAAAATACAATTTATTTCGATAATAATGTTGGAGTGGTCAAAAAAAAATTTTAAAAATGTGGGCTGAAATTCCTACTGATACATTCAAACAATGCCAGGACAAAATGAAATTCGATGACTTCATATTCACAGACAATATGGTTGCCTATGATTCGATGTCAGCTCTTCATGTTGATATGCCAAAAATTGACTGCCATCACATGGCTAAAGGCGTGTATACATTAGAAGAATTGATTGCTTCAGGATTCCCACTCCCAGAGGAAGAATTTTCATATGATGAAATCCGTAAAATTTGCGGATATTATCTAGATACAATTGTAGCTCGTTTGGATGGCCATACAGTATACCAAACAACACTTCTTTCAGTATATGCACACAAAGAGTATCCACTTAAGAACGAATTACTTAAAGCAACAATTTTGAGTTTCATAGCTCTTTCAAATGAAATAGAAAACTTCGCAAACAAAACAATTCCGGAGAATTACAACTTCTGGGCTCAGTGCCAAACGTTTAATGAAGTTGCTCACCCTTATAATTTCGATGAAATCAATGATTTGCTTCAGAAATTCAAAGGAAACGCGGAAATTGCAGACATCATCGATTTCTTACAATTTATAGTCAATTTTGCTATATATCTTTCAAAATTCCCAGAAATGAAGTTCCCAGAAATGCCAAAGCTTCCAGAGCTCTCAGAAGCTATCGGATTCACACAAATTCTTCATCTTAGAGACCTCCCAACTCGTGCTCCTCCAACAAAGCTTCAAATTTTACCACACGAAAAATCTCTTGAAAGATTCAAGCAAAACGTCGCTCTTATCCAAGAACTTACAGCTATTCCATTTCCAACTACATTTGCCGATGCAATTACGCAAGCTTCAGCTTGGTCACTCAAAAATTTCGAAGCTCCAATTTTCCCACGTATTGTTCGTCTGAAACAAGCAATTTTGCTTAAGGATGAACCAGATACATTCTATGGTGTCAAATATATTGATTTTCTTAAAAAAGAATTAACACAATTCAATACTCCGGAATCTTGCTATGCAAACAAAGATTTTAAGCAAATATTGAACCACATATATTACATTATGTGCCAATCCATGCGCGCTTTCTGGATGCCGAACGCATTTACCCAATTTGTTTTCCATAAGTCTCTTTTCCCAATTTGGGGCAGATTACAGAACAACAACCTTGCTGTTGAGACATCAATCTCTCATCCAAAGCCAAAAGTTCGTTCTTTGGCCCATGAAAATTATTTGAAAACAACTGTTGCAACTTGGGGCCAAATTATAGCCGCAACTTTTTCAATTGAGTACGTTAAACAGTTTATTGCTAGTGATGTAATGATTCCTGACGATTACGCGTTCTTATCCTTGGTATTGTCCCAGGCTTACGGAACATGGGCTGATGCTTTGGAGAAGAAGCGTACAACAGATGCCATTTACGCAGTTATGCAGCACAGAGGACCAAAACATAACTCAATTATAACAAATGAAGATGTTGACAGAAAAATTGCTCCTGAGTCCGTAGAAATCATGAAATATAAGGCTTTATCTGAACTATGGAACGCTACATTCTTTGGATTGCGTCATTCCATTTGCTGTGGCGGATTTAAAGGAAAACAAGCCGAATTTTTCAACTACGTTAAAGTCTACGAAGAGAGATTGCGCTACATAAACAAAATGAGAGAAATAAACCTCATGAATCATGAACAATACAAATATCTTATGAGTGGTCAGTCAAATACTCTCGACGACGCTACCAAGAAATACATTACAGCGAGACCATTTATCAAGAAGGCCGCAGATGCAAACACCGATAAGTCCCAGGAAGCTTATTACAAGGCAATGATGCTTGGATCTGTTATGGCTCCAATGAATTTGGGTAAGAGAAAGACAGAAACAATTAAATTTACAATTACGGATGACATGTTACCTTCTTTCTCATTAGCGTAGAAATAAATATTTTTTTAATATTTATTCCGTTTTTATTGAAAAAATCAAATACATTTGTATAGTTTACACGGATAGAATTAAAAATATTGTAAAAATTGACTAAAAATACTCCGATCTTCCTTATATCTATAATGTATCATGCGGATATTAGAATTATTTCTATAAACATCTTTGTTAAGTTAATTTCGAATATTCTTTAAATTCATTCATTCGCAAAGTCGTTAACACATATGGATGATAATTCTGATATAATACATTCACTGAGTTTTAAAAATATTAAAGATATATCACATTTTATTTGATATGTTCTTCAACCCATTCTTCAAGAATCATTGCATGATTACAATTTTCATTACGCGCAGCATACAAAAAGGTCACGTTGGAATTTTTCAAAATATCTCTAATTTTGAAAGCAAATTCACCAGCTTTTGAATTTTTATTAAGTTCATCTAGATACAACTTTTTGAACTCATCAAACTTTTCTTCCTCATGATTGAACATTTTGCGAATCTCAGTTGATGGTGTTACATCTTTATTCCATTCATCAAGTTTTGCAGCTTCCTTTTTGACTCTACGAGGCCAAAGACGGTCTACGAGCACACGATACCCATCTGATTCTTCTACAGGCTGGTAAATACGCTTTATTTTTAGAACATTCATATAAATGAAATTTTGTGAAAAAAATTTTCCCAAACCAAGGATACCTTTGAAATTATGGATTCTGAGAATATTTTCCCAACTTTCCCTGTCACAAATATTTATTGTGCATTTGTTTGGAGTAATTATTTCCCTCCAACTTTGTATATTGTATTGCCATTTTATTAATCGAAAAATCAATTGAGGATGATGTTTGTTATGTTTTTGAGATTTTGCATACTCTCAGGGAACATAGAATAAGGAACCCTAATATTTTTTTTCATTTGAGAAACATACTAATAATTAATTTTAATATCTCATTTAATAATAAAAATTTGTATCATATCACGAAAATAAGTATTTATAAATCAAACATAATTAAGAAGATGACGCATTATGAATGAAATCCATTGACTTGGCTGGGGATTTTCTTCATCAAGTTTTGATATAATAAACTCAATTGGAACATTTGCAAAAGATGTTGAATAGTCATTGTAGTTATTCTGGGAACATAAATTGCGCTTTAATGCAAAGGTTAAATCCCAAACTAATCGTTTTTTCATTTCCTGAACATCTTCTTTATACTGATCCAATAAACGAGATTTTGTGTCAAGTTCTTCAATGCTTGGAATTGCATAATCACTTGATTGATCATCATAATCGTTATCATAATCTTCAACTTGATTATAAGCACGATCAAAAGGATTGTCAGACGGCAGGGTGTTTTGTGACTCTATTATAAGTGAAGGTAGATCCTGCTCGTCATCAGATATCAATGATTGATGCATTATTGACATTGCGTTTTAAACGTACAGTCTGAGAAATTCTATCAAAGTTTTTATCAAAATTTAGAATGAAAGATTGAGATTATCAAATGTTATTCTATCAAATTATAGATATTTTCCTTTGTTTCAGACTAGGGATTTAAAAACGGTTTCGCCAAATGGTGAATTACTGAAATCAGCCTGATTCTTTCGAATTCGGCGAACTCAAAAAGTGACACAAATTATACTGAATCTCGCTATAAGGTCGATGAAAAAATGAGCGTTTTTAAAAAACCGCCGTTTGAGAGGAAAATTGAGAGCCCCGATGTATACTTTTTGACATTGTCAAAAACTTTGAAAGGACCAAAAAAATTTTAGTGTTAGAAAGTTTACAAATGTATACTTTCTGACAAACAGACTCTCAAAAAGTACTCAAACTGCGGTTTTTAATTTCCGCACTTTTTTTGGCGACCTTAATCATTCATAATTTTTGCATATGTCAAATAGTTACAGTATGTTTATAACTTTATTGTCATAATATATATATTCATTCAATATATTTTGCAAATATTGGGCTTAACCTCTTCGCCAAATTGCGAATCCGCCATTTTGTAAAGTAAAATTGAGAGGAAAACGATAATTCCAAAATAAAAATAATAGACCCTATCTTAAAATCATGAAGATTATCCAACAATAAAAATGTTAGACTCTTTATTAATAAAAAACGAAAATTCCATAAAATAAAAATATCAGACCCTTTTACATGGTTTCGAAATTAAAAAATGGCGAATTCGCCAAAAAATTAGAAGTGGCGCAATTTGCCATTTTGCGAACTTTTTTAAATCCCTATTCAGACAAAGACAAATACATTTTTCTTGGTTCAATTCGTCAACACTCAGTATTGCTGAAATACAGTTGAATTTGTGTATCTTAAAGAGACATATACATCTCATATCATGATAAACAACCGTGACATCAAAATTGGCTCTTGAAACGAATATTTCAGTAAAAATGAAGCCGTAACTCTAAAGCATCAAGAGGCAGTTTCAAAAACATCTCCATTTAAGAGTTATCTCATTGATTAAACAAGTAATTCAATGTGTTGCAAAAATTTATTTCAATTAGTTAACTAAGATTTGATAAAATTTTTTATATGAAAAGTATCTTAAAAATTCAGGAAAATAAATGCTTATCCGCAAATGAATGATATTAGAGATCATTTCATAAATATGAAATTGAATGATTTTAATTAACGAACTCGTCTAATGTTATATGAGGGATGATAAAATGCATCAGAATGAAGCTTTGTCTGAACATTAACTTCACAAATATATGATGAAAAGTGAGAAAGTTTTTGAATAGAAGATGTATTTTGAACATTATTTGTTGTAACTGATCCTGTTGTTAAAAAAAAACATACGAAGAATTTTTTATTTGAGAACAATATTAACATTTGCTTGTGAAATTGCAGCCATAACTTCAGAAGCATGGTCGGCATCAGGGAAGATATTCTGCTGATTCAAACATTCGATGAAATCAATATCAATGATTCCTTTCTGAGCTGCCAAAGAATGTCCAGGATGGAAGAATCCAACACCTTCTGAATACTCAGACAATGCATTGAATTGGTATCTTTCAGACCTTCTAAACTCTGTCATCAAAGGAGCAGGGAGAAGTGCACCGAGCGTACCATCTTTAAGAAGATAGTATATGCAATTTCCATTCCTGAAAATGAAGACAACAACACGGCCGATGTTGATTCGACCACAAATATTTAATTGTGGTAAAGAAACCATGTCAAATGTATTAAGACCTAATACAATGTTGATATCGATAGTAGTGAAGAAGATGTCTCCCCTCTCTGTGGAGAAAGCGACTGTCAAATCATCAATAGGTGCAATGGCTGTGATTTTGTCTGTCACTTTTTTGTATTGGCCGACACCTTCCAAACAGTCATCTTTCTTGTTGTACGTCAAGACGGCGATTCCATAGTTTTCGACTGAGCACCAGATGTATCTGCCATGAGTTACAACCATATTGACGTTGCCGCATAAAGTTGTATTTGCATATGTGAATAAAAGTTTGTCTTCTATGAATTTGCAAACCCTTATCGTATGGCTGGTACAAAATATTACCTTATGGCCCATCATGCATATACTTGATATGATGGTCTCAAATTTATTTGTGAATTTGAGAGAGAGTTTGCCATCTTCGTATACAATACCATGTATTGTATCTGATTTCCCGCAATCCGCTGCAATAATTTTGACCCTTCCCTTTGATTCATGAGCAATTAAAGTTGAAACAGAGCCTTTGAACGTTTCTGATGTGATTTCCTGGTTCTCATTATCAAATACATGGATAGAGAACTCATGGTCGTTGTCTACACAAAGAGCAAATCCGTAATTTCCGGCAAGAGCGATATAAATTGTGTTTTTAATGCTCAATTTGATGTAAAAACTATGTGTTGACTGATTTTCAGTCAAGAAGTTTCTCGCTGTGACGTTTCCTTCCTTCGCTGTCGATAAGAAAATAACTCCGATTTCATCTTTATACAAACAGAAGGCATCCATTGGCAGAAACTGTTCTTCATGGATTGTAGAGTCATAATAATGGTATAATCTTTCATCAGCGAAGAAAAATTCGTCATCATTTGCAGGATTTCTGATAAAGAAGACATCAATGCACGGATTGCCAATATAACAATATGTATGTTTGATAAGTTCTCCATTTTCATTTGTTTCCGTTGATAAAACCGTTCCATTGAACATTCCGACGAATAATTTTTTGCCTTCTTCAACAAAGATCATTGAGGTTACACGGGATGGAACATCTATATCAGCCTTTGTATTAAACTCGTTATCCATTAAAATTATGCTTGCAATTCCTGTATTTTCGTAATAATGACTTGAAGCAGTGAAATTTTCTGAAATAGCTACGGCGGTTATTACTGTATCGTCTGCTATATCAATTGTTGTCTGACCAACTTTCTTGAAATCGGAAATTTGGAAAATAACAAGTTTTCTATGGTCAAAAGCAATAAGAAGGCGTTCATCCATGTAGTCACATGCTGTACAACGTCTAAGAGCTATCTTTTTACTGGATTCTTTCTGATAAATGCCATCTTCGTAAATAAAAATTGAATTATTTTCATTAATTTCGTAAAGGCCAAGCAATCTTCCTTGTCCATATGGAATTACATCCTCATTACCTATGATTTCGGTTCCATTTTCACTGGAAATAGCATATGAGTCCATTGATTCTGTAAATAAGCGGAAAGGTGGCTGAGTTTCGTACGGAACGTTGTTTTCCCGTGGGAACTCACTATATTCGTATGAGAAAACACCTCTAGTATCTGCTGCGTAAAGTTTTTTGTGAAAAATTGTTGCAGATTTTATGGAAAGTGGACTTTCTAAGTCCAAAACTGTATTGTCTTGCATGGTCTCGGCTTCTTGTGATGGATTAACTGTGAAAATAATGTTATCTCCGTTGTCACAAACGCCAAATGCCAAATTATTGGGTAAGAGGAAAATCTGATTAAGTTTTGGTGCTTCGAGGTCGATATCTAATGACATATTATTGATATCAATACCTCTAATGTGATTTTCCTCATCTTGAATAATAATTCTTGATTTGAAAACATTTGAGTGGACAACCATAGGAGAATCAAGTTCCACTGGATTTTTCTTGCTTGGATTTTCAACTTTATCCGGATATAAGAATGCAAGAACTGTAGCTTTCGAATTTTTATAAGATATAATTCCTGAAGCCGTATTTTCAAGATCCTTAGATGTAGTTTCAAGAGTTTTATGATTAAGAATAAGAACATCTTGTTTATCATCCTCTACAATAAGAATTTGAAAAGTATTTAACGTTGATCCTGCTGTAGCGTCTAATAACTTCATTTCATGAAGCACTTTGATGTTAACATCAATCGTATCTTTGTTAAATGAAAATATATAACAAAAATCTGCACCTTTATATGAAATTAAAACTGTTTTGAGATCATTTGTAGTTTCGAAGAGATTATATGGCTCTGGAGACTTATCAAGTTGAACACTAGCGATTTTTCGAAATTGTTTCTTAAAATCGGAAATTGTTAGTAAGTTTTCTGAATTTAAAGTCCAAATATAGTTTTCATTGAAAGTACCCCATGTAATGCTTGTTCCTGTATAATATTTGCTCACATCTTTGATGATAATCGATTCACTTTCGCTAAATATTGTGTATTTCTGAATTGAACTATGAAAACCAAGCATAATTTCACATGTTGACGATGAAAGCTTCCTCGAGCCAAGAAAAGAATGAATCTTGGTCTCTGGAATCACCGTAGAGTGATAGAATTGCATTGCTTGGGTCATAGAACGATTATTTTTTTAAAAAAACACCTATTTTAAAAGCTTTTAATTATTTGATAAATATAACAATCATAACACAAAACTCATGATTATTAAAATTTTTATGAAAATTCATTAAAAATAGCATTTGATATAAGGAAAAAACATTATATTTGACAAATGTTTATACTTTAATACATATTACAAAACCAATTGTATAGTTTGCAATCATAAATAATGGATGAACTGTTACATCATTTGAAGAATTGCCAAACTCAAGAAGCAACAGAGTACTTTCTGGCCATAACAAACGATGTTGAAAGATGTGAAATGTTTTTTTCTATATTAACTCAAGATAATGAAATCATCCAAAATCCAAAATTACAATTATCATTCATTGGTTTATTTAAGAACTGGATTTCTACAAATTGGTTGAATTTAAACGAAGAAGTTCATGGAATGTTCTATTCTTTAATAGAACAAATGCCAATTATTGCAAATCTCGGTGATTTTATTTCACAATACATTTCAAAGTATACTATATGTCCTAGAATTTATGATCAATACATATTTTCGATATTTACAGCTCTTTCTGATCCATCCTCTTTATCATTAAAACAAATTTCATCTCTTACAACAATATCTCATTCAATAATACGAAACTACCATAATATTAATGAAAATGAAGTACTAGATGTCAATGAATTATATCAAAAATTTTTAGAAATCATGATTCCTTTGATAGACAATGCAGAACTACAAAAAAGTGAAGATGGAGCAATTATCCTAGACAATACATTATATTCTTTCTTCATTTTATTCAACAGAGTACAGCCAGATCCTTCACAACTCGAACCTTTCATTAATTTATCAAGAAGTGTCATAGAATTGTTCGCAACAGATGATTCACCACATCCTTTGTTTGTTCCTGCTTGTATCCGCTTTGTAAATCGTGTTTTCAAAATTGAATTATTAAAAGAACAGCTTTCACCATTAAAAGAAGAATTTATAGGTATATTCATTAATGCTCTATCAATATATGTTAAAAAACAATGTGATTCCAGTTTTTTATTAGAATCAATTTTAATTTCAATAGAAAATTTGAAAAAATTAATACCAGAAGACACAAATATATTAGATTTATTCCTAGAAGCATCAATACCGTCAGTACAAGACTTAAATGACCTTTTCCAAAACCCATCTGTTTTTTATTCACTTGCTTATTCAACAGAAACAAGTGAAAAGCCTCTTATCATGCTCAGATCATTAATACATCACATGGTATCAACATATGATTCGTGTCTTGATTATTTGATAAATTTGCCAATATCAGAAGTTTTATGTCGACAAATTTCGCATTGTTATAAAATTATTTCATCAAAGGAAGGAGGAAATGACATTCTTGTTCAATGGGTTAATGCGGCAACAGTTCAAATTGCTGATGATAGTTTTGAAATTGATTTTACAAATGAAGAAATGGTTCTTTGTGTTTCGTCACAATTATTTTTATTAGTTTCTACTGTTAAATATTTTCCTCTTGATGAATTAGCCGCAATCATGGAACATGTTGTTCCTAAATTCTTGAATGATAAGTATTCTATACTTACTATTGCATCAGCGAAACTACTTTATAAATTGATCAAACATGATATTTATCCTGAAAATGAATGCATTGACAATTTAATTAAATCAATTGGAACTTCTTTATCAAATGAACCAATGAAGACATTGCAAAAATTATGTGAAGTTCTTCCAAACACTATTGAACGTCGTGCGCAAGATGTTTTGCTTGCAATTAATAATTATATTGAATTAGATAATTCGGAAGAAAATGTTGAAATTATGTCGAAATGTTTAGAAATAATAGATAATATGATAAAATATACTCCTTCTGTTGGTCATAATTATGTTTGTGATTATGTTGTTAGATTTATTGATAGAAATCTGAGTTGTGATGAAGATACACTTATTGATGCATCATGTAAACTCATACAAACAATTTTAACAACGAAATCACAAAGAATTCCAGAAATTATACAAATTGTTATGAAAAATCTTCAATCAAATCAATATTTATATGATTGTATTGATGAAGTTATTTATATATTCTTGAGATTGATTTCTAAATGCATATTAGAGTCAACAAACTTCTCAGAACTTAATATATCAGAAGAAATTATTAATTTGTTCACACATTACATGTTTGAAGAATCAAATGGAATTGAAAGTTCTAGATCGATCACAACATTGTTAATTTGGATTATTATGACAGACAACGAAGTTAATCTTGATTATTTGTTTGGATATTGCAACAATCTTCTTGAAAACTATGGTAATCTTAAAGATACACAAAGAATGTGCATCATGCAACTATATGCAACTCTTTATATATCAAGAGGTATTTTATTTTCTGATGAAATTGTTCATAAAATTTGCAAACAAATTCACGATGAATATTGCATTGATTCGCAAGATTGTATTGTTTATGCATTGTTTATCATGAGATTGATTGATTCTGGTTCATCGGCAGATACACTTATGCCATATGTTTTTCAAACAGTCAATCATCGTAACAAATGGGAAAATTTATCAAAAGAACAACGTGAAGAATACATAAACGATGAAGGATTTAAATTCTCAGACAGTTTCGTTCTTTTGCTTGATACAGAAGACATTACTGGACCATTCAATCAATACGATATTATGAGTTTAGTTTCAAACAGTATCATCAAATGTTCAGTTAAAGGTTTATACAAACTTCGTGAACTCTTCCCTGATAACTTCTCATAGGATAATATATAGGGTGTCCAAAGGTGCGTTTAGCACAGCGCTCTATATGAGACTATTAAAGGAGATATATGCTGATTATAAATATATAATAAAAAATATGAATATATGTATATGATGAGTATGTTGTATTTTGGCGCCATGCCGGGATATAAAATGAATTTTGAGACAAGAGGCGGTTTCGCGGGAAATTTTAGCGGGATTTTTTCATTTTTTTAATGAATCATAAAGAAAACATCCTCGCTCTTGCAAAAAAATGCAAAGACTGTAAAAAATCTACGAGACATTGGTAAAATACTTCGGTATGGATGCTCCTAGCTATTCCACTGTAACGTATCATGTTAGGATGTATCACTTCATGAACAAAAAGGCGCCCATCATAAAAATTGACAAAAAATCGCCGGATCAAAGAAAAATCAAAGCAATTCTTCAAGCGCTAGATGAAGACCCAAGAGCATCACTCAGAAGGATAGAGGAGATGACAAAGATACCACGTACAACAGTCAGTTATTATCTGCACAATTATTTGAACTACAAACTAGCGTATACACGTTGGGTTCCGCACAACCTTTAATTCAAAAAAATCTAGAGTCCAATCTTCGAAAGAGCTCCTCTCTATATTGGGTGCGTATCAATCCAAGAAGTTTCGCTTTTTAGTAACAGGGGATGAGTCTTGGTTTCAATATGCAACAGAAGCCAAAATCATGTGGATCCCGAAGGATAAAAATCCGCAAACATTCCCGAAGAAAAAAATTTGACACACCAATGATGATGTTGTTGTTGGTTTTTTGGGGCGTGAATGGCATCATCGCAATTGATATTCTTCAAAAACCTAATACGATGAATGCTCAGTATCTAATTGACAATGTTCTTACTCAAATTATCAATTCTGATGAGTTTGAGAAATCCAAACAACAAAAACAAAAGTTTGCAATTCATTTTGATAATTCAAGAGTTCACAAAAGTCATAAGGTAATGAATTACTTGTTGGAAAACAATGTCAAAGTTGTTCCAAACCCAATTTATTCACCTGATATTGCACCTCTGACTTTTATTTATTCGGCACGCTAAAAAAGAGAGCTGAAGGACGCGAATTCGCGAGTCCAGATGATCTTGAAAATTTTGTAAGAGAGCAATTTGAGCAATTTTCTCATGATGATTTAAAGCGTGTCTTTCAAGCCTGGATCGATCGCTGCGAACGCGTGATTGAATCCAATGGTGATTATATTTAAATAAACTTTATATATATGTAACTTGTTTATTTCTATTCGCAGTATTCAGGTTTGTGCTAAACACACCTTTGGACACCCTATATTATTCAATTGTTTTTTTATATAAAGTCTCAAATCAAAATTGAAAATTCTATTTCATTTTTTTTATGAATAATGTGATTAATAAATAATGTTTTAATGTACATTGAGATGACTATAGTGGCCGGTTCTCGTGGAAACCAGATTTTGGGTTTATCAACCAGAAACGGCCACCATATGATGGCCATGCTTTAATTTAAAAATAACTACTAATAACAATTCTCAAATGCTGTATAATCAAAAATGGGCCAAATGAGAACTGATTGCTTCTGACTATAAATTGATGTGTGTTTTGGCCGAGGGCGATTTGTCGCCCGAGGTCAGAATTTTTTTTGAAAAAATCTCCGCTTCTGGCAAAATCCCATGTCCGACAAGCTTAATCATAAGCTTGAGAGTCATCCTTTTCTTAAGGAGAGATCAAAAGTGTACAGTTTTTAATGGTAAAAATGAAATTTTAATTCGACGTGAATTAACCGACAATTGTTTTGTATCTGATCAGAAAATTCAATGAATTTCTGAGTAAATTCAGAAAAAAAAGTTTTTAAAAATCGAACTTACAAGTTCGAAATCATATGAATCAAAATTATCCATTGATAAATAATGGCAGAAATTAATGCAAATGATGCTAATCAAGGTGTTTACACTATTACAGGTGATGTTTCGGATAATCAATTTGCCAACCACACTGAACTTCGAAGTGTTGAAATCAAGGACTGCACCACCATTGGCATCTATGCTTTCTTCAACTGTACAAACATCACAAATGTCAAACTTCCGAATACTATTACAAAAATCGGAGAAAGAGCTTTCTCAGATTGTACACTTCTCAAAAGCATATCCATCCCAGAAGGTGTTACTACATTAGAAGATCGATTATTCTACTTTTGCACTTCACTTGAAGAAATTAATCTCCCAGAAACACTTTTATCGATTGGAAACGAGTCATTTCGATTTTGTACTAATCTCACAAACATCAGTCTTCCATCATCGCTAACAACAATTGGAAAGAGCGCATTCTCAGGATGTATTAGCTTGACTTTATTCAATTCATCGCTTCCAAACAGTTTATCTAGACTTGGAAATGGTGTTTTCTCTTCATGTATAAGTATAACAAATGTGACAATACCTGATACAATCACTGTTCTTGGTTCTTATTTATTTAATCAGTGCAAATCATTGCTTTCCGTTTCATTTGGACAAAGTATAATAAGTATTGGTGATTATTGTTTCTATAATTGTTCGAATCTTGTTGAAATCTCAGATTTGCCAAGTATTGAAAACATTGGTGATAGATCATTTGATTCTTGCATAAACCTCAGTTTTGTTTACCTTTCAGATCAAATTAAATCTATAGGTGTTTCCGCTTTCAATAAGTGCAGGAAATTAAATACAAATAACTCTGTATTTAACTTTACCCAACTCACAGAGGTAAAACCAGGAACATTTTCACAAACAAATTATGATTTTCGTATTAATCTCTCAGATCAATGTAAGAAAATAGGCGCATATGCATTTTATATTGATAATGAATACTATGAAAGATATTGTAATCCTTACTGGAATTTATTTTATTATAATGGATACATCTCAATTTTTACGGACGCATTCCCTAAATATTTAGAATATGTAGTTAGTATACATATCAAGGGTACGGCGGCACTGCGCGCCTCCTTATCCATTATATGTGAATTTGACACTTTACGAAACCGTTAACGTATATTTTACAACACTAACGACTTCACTAACGAATTCACTAATGTTTTCACAAACGACTTCACTAATGTAAAAAATAAACGTTCTCACTAACGTTCCCACTAATGTTCTCACTTACAAAAGTATTGCAACTCCTCCCATTGCTGTGCTTCATATAACAGCTCATAATCTTCTGACTCACTTTCTTCTTCATATAGGTCAAAATCACTGTCATAGTTTATACCTGTAAGTTTTGACAAAGCTAATGAAACACGCTTACCGTTTGTATCAGTTAGTATACATATCAAGGGTACGGCGGCACTGCGCGCCTCCTTATCCATTATATGTGAATTTGACACTTTACGAAACCGTTAACGTATATTTTACAACACTAACGACTTCACTAACGAATTCACTAATGTTTTCACAAACGACTTCACTAATGTAAAAAATAAACGTTCTCACTAACGTTCCCACTAATGTTCTCACTTACAAAAGTATTGCAACTCCTCCCATTGCTGTGCTTCATATAACAGCTCATAATCTTCTGACTCACTTTCTTCTTCATATAGGTCAAAATCACTGTCATAGTTTATACCTGTAAGTTTTGACAAAGCTAATGAAACACGTTTACCGTTTGTATCATATGCTTGTATAAACTTTCCATTATGCTTGTAGTCATAAACGCTCAAACTAACTTTACCCTTTCTCCCTCGTATCTGATAGAATGTATTTTCACGAGGAACGAAGAACAAATTCTTGAACTCATGACCGTTGTAGTTTGTTATCTCAATAGTTTTCGTCATTTACATCCAAATAAAATAAAAAAATAAATGATATCACCACCCTCACACGTATGAAAACATAGCACAAAAATAATGTTTAGGTGAAATCGTAAGAGTTCCGGATTCAACGGTTTATACTGCTGTTCAAAACAGTTTACAAAACATTTTAGCGAATATCTTTAATTCAGAAACTACAGAAATAAAATTACCATATATAACAGATGCTAAAGAAATTAAATCAAAAACGACAACATTATTTACGTCACTTAATGATTTAATGACTTATATCATTAATATTCCTGCACCAACTACAGCATTTGATCCAAACTCGACGGTTTGCAGTGTACCTTTCATAAAGTCGCAAAGCGACCAGGGCGAAGCCCATGACAGTTCATTAATTACTTTAAGGGATTCAACAGTTAATGAATCATTAAAGGCGTCATTAATGAAAATCATTGATTTTAACTCATTCACGAATACATATAATTCATTCATTAATGTTTCATATGCTTCTAAAGAAGGTGAGCCAAAAACTATCGATAAAGCGGTGTATGAAATAAAAGCATCAACGACGAAATTGAATTCGTTAACTTTTGACGGTGATAGTTTCGTTAATGACATAACATCGGGGAAAACAATTTTAACGAAAGAATATTTAAAATCTCATGTTAGTGAGTTCGTTGAAATTGAAAAAGAAGGTGGAATTAAGTTCGATCCACTGAATTTCATTTTCAGCTTAGCGAATGCGGGTGTTAGTTTCGCTGAATGGACAACTATACAGAGTGAAATAAATGCAATATGGACGTTTTTGGGTCAAAAGCGGGAATGGGTGAGCTTGTAAATGCTGCAAGAACATTAGGTGAAACAGGAAATTTTGTAGATGGTTTTAAAAGACTTGTTTCAAATGTTTTAACAAACACAAAGAAATTATTTAGATATACCATACATAACGGACGGATTTTCGAACAGGTAGCAACAAACCCTCCGGTTATGGCTGCGTTGATGATGGTTAGAGATATAAAACCACGTAACGACGGGAACGAAGAACATGAACAACAGGATACTGGTCGGGTTATTCAAGACATTAAAAACGTGTATCCTGAAGTTATTGATTTATTTAGAGGAGTTAATGATTCAATTTCAAAACATTCTATAACCCTCGATGAAGAGAATAAATTAACAGATTATATATTCGTCATTATTGCAGAACTAATGAAGAGAATAAATGAAAAAGGAATTGGTGATATCATTAATGTCAGCGATGTAATGATGAAAAGAAATTTTGACTCATTATTTACAAAACCGAAAACAGAATATAGTCTTTATGACGTAATTACCGAATTAATGAAAAAGATTAATGATAATAAGAGTTCTGGCGGAAGAGTTGAATTAGAAGTGAATGATGTTAATGAGAAATTAGCCGAAAAAGCAGATAAAACCACGTTCATTATATAACTTCAGACGAACAGATTATAACGGACTACCATGGATATTTAACACGAAGTGATGAAGCGAAGACAAAAAATGTTAATGAAAGAAGATATAAATACATTCGTGCTAAAGGTTATGACATAAGCTGTACTGTACAGTATGATGTAGCTAAAGCACCAGAAGCATTTGGTTATACCGGTGAAATTTATGCCTCTACTTTCAATGTTAATGGTGTATTAGTTGAACCAAGATTTACTTTGAGAGTTAAGTCAAAAATAACGTTTGAAGATGCTATTAAAAGTAAAGCTGACAAAGATGAACTTGACGCAACGAACAAAGTTTTGAAATCTCATAAACACAACATCTCCGATATAAATGAACTTCAAACTTCTTTAGACAGTAAAGCCGACAAGAACCATACACATAAATCCTTCACTACTGTTAGAGCAGACGACATAATATTGAACTTTGACCTTGGTTCAAGTGCACCTTTAGAGAATCCAAGTACAAGCGTAAAAGATACACTAAACTCCTTAAATAGTAAATGTATGAACATTGAAGGTCATGTCAGAAACTTTGAAACACATGAACTACTCTTATATACGAAAAAAAGAGATCTGACATTGTGTCAGATCTCAGTAAAAGTGACATTTACATGTCAAAAAAATAGAATGAGTTTAAGTAATTAAAATTGAGGGTGAGAGTAGTATTGTATGAAATAATATCTCTCACCCTCCAATTCATCCTATGGCGCCGAAAAAATTTTGGTGAAATGCGACCACATTTCACCAAAATTTCTCGGCGCCATATAGAGAACTAGAGCCTGTGAGGTACTGATACTATCCATGTACCTCGCAGGCTCTAGTTCCAAGCCAAAATGGCTAAAAATTGCCCGCAATTGTTCACATTGCGGGCAATTTTTAGCCATTTTGGCTGGGAATTGGAGGGTGAGAGTAGTATTGTATGAAATAATATCTCTCACCCTCCAATTCATCCTATGGCGCCGAAAAAATTTTGGTGAAATGCGACTACATTTCACCAAAATTTCTCGGCGCCATATAGAGAACTAGAGCCTGTGAGGTACTGATACTATCCATGTACCTCGCAGGCTCTAGTTCCAAGCCAAAATGGCTAAAAATTGCCCGCAATTGTTCACATTGCGGGCAATTTTTAGCCATTTTTGGCTGGGAATTGGAGGGTGAGAGTAGTATTGTATGAAATAATATCTCTCACCCTCCAATTCATCCTATGGCGCCGAAAAAATTTTGGTGAAATGCGACCACATTTCACCAAAATTTCTCGGCGCCATATAGAGAACTAGAGCCTGTGAGGTACTGATACTATCCATGTACCTCGCAGGCTCTAGTTCCAAGCCAAAATGGCTAAAAATTGCCCGCAATTGTTCACATTGCGGGCAATTTTTAGCCATTTTGGCTGGGAATTGGAGGGTGAGAGTAGTATTGTATGAAATAATATCTCTCACCCTCCAATTCATCCTATGGCGCCGAAAAAATTTTGGTGAAATGCGACCACATTTCACCAAAATTTCTCGGCGCCATATAGAGAACTAGAGCCTGTGAGGTACTGATACTATCCATGTACCTCGCAGGCTCTAGTTCCAAGCCAAAATGGCTAAAAATTGCCCGCAATTGTTCACATTGCGGGCAATTTTTAGCCATTTTAGCTGGGAATTGGAGGGTGAGAGTAGTATTGTATGAAATAATATCTCTCACCCTCCAATTCATCCTATGGCGCCGAAAAAATTTTGGTGAAATGCGACCACATTTCACCAAATTTCTCGGCGCCATATAGAGAACTAGAGCCTGTGAGGTACTGATACTATCCATGTACTCGCAGGCTCTAGTTCCAAGCCAAAATGGCTAAAAATTGCCCGCAATTGTTCACATTGCGGGCAATTTTTAGCCATTTTGGCTGGGAATTGGAGGGTGAGAGTAGTATTGTATGAAATAATATCTCTCACCCTCCAATTCATCCTATGGCGCCGAAAAAATTTTGGTGAAATGCGACCACATTTCACCAAATTTCTCGGCGCCATATAGAGAACTAGAGCCTGTGAGGTACTGATACTATCCATGTACCTCGCAGGCTCTAGTTCCAAGCCAAAATGGCTAAAAATTGCCCGCAATTGTTCACATTGCGGGCAATTTTTTAGCCATTTTAGCTGGGAATTGGAGGGTGAGAGTAGTATTGTATGAAATAATATCTCTCACCCTCCAATTCATCCTATGGCGCCGAAAATTTTGGTGAAATGCGACCACATTTCACCAAATTTCTCGGCGCCATATAGAGAACTAGAGCCTGTGAGGTACTGATACTATCCATGTACCTCGCAGGCTCTAGTTCCAAGCCAAAATGGCTAAAAATTGCCCGCAATTGTTCACATTGCGGGCAATTTTTAGCCATTTTAGCTGGGAATTGGAGGGGTGAGAGTAGTATTGTATGAAATAATATCTCTCACCTCCAATTCATCCTATGGCGCCGAAAAAATTTTGGTGAAATGCGACCACATTTCACCAAAATTTCTCGGCGCCATATAGAGAACTAGAGCCTGTGAGGTACTGATACTATCCATGTACCTCGCAGGCTCTAGTTCCAAGCCAAAATGGCTAAAAATTGCCCGCAATTGTTCACATTCCCATCTTTTGTTGGTAAGACGAAGAATATGAAATAAATTATGAAGAAGATAATGATGAATAAAATATCACTTTTTATATTTTTGACACGTAAAGTTGTCACTTTTCTGTCAAACTGTTTTTATCGTTTTCGTATATAACAGAAGGAACTGGTGGGGATGCATTATATTGGAAACCTCCTAACTTTCCACAAGGTTTAACATCGGAGGAAAACATAACGACGATGAAATACATTAGATGTAGAAATGTTTATGTCATGGAGGATGAAAATAATGTTAAATTCACTGCTCAAGATTTATATGATAAGAAAGCTGACAAGAACCATACACATAAATCCTTCACTACTGTTAGAGCAGACGACATAATATTGAACTTTGACCTTGGTTCAAGTGCACCATTAGAAAATCCAAGTACAAGCGTAAAAGATACTCTTAACAATTTAGATAAGAGTTGCAGGAATACCGAAGATCATGCCAGAAACTTTGAAGCATATGAACTACCAGCAATGTTAGATAAGAAAGCTGACAAAACAGAGCTTCAAACATTAAAGACAGAAATACTTCAAACATTATATCCTATAGGTTCTATTTATACGTCAATGAACTCAACAAATCCAGCAACAGTTCTGGGTTTCGGTACGTGGGAACAGATTGTAGATAAATTCTTATACTGTGCTAGATATTCAAAGCAAACAGGAGGTTCGAAGAAAATTACTGAAGCAAACCTTCCACCGCACACTCATACAGGAACGACAAACTTTTCTGGCGACCATAGCCACTCATTAAGAGACCACCCATTATACAACTCAGAGTATGAAGCTGGCAATGACGTTTTATCTCCATCTTATAACAATGCAGCAAAAAAGACTTTTCGACCAACTGAACCAGGAGGAAATCATTCACATACTTTCACAACAAATCCAACAGGCTCGGGTGCAGATTATATGCCACCATTTGTGACTGTATTCGCATGGTATAGAGTTCAATGAACGCGCTTGAGCCTAGAATAAATCTTTAACTTTACATAAATGAGCTTGAAAGAAGTATTCGAACAACATCCATGGAGGTCATTTAAGAAATTCAATGAAGCTGCAAAGAGTTGGGGATTTACTAACAGAGCTGAAGTGAAAAGGTTCTTTGACAAAAATGTTGTACATCAAACAAAAATAAACCCTTACGACTACTTTTTACCAATTTACTCCAACACTCCTGACGCATACCAATTTGACACTCTCATTCAAAGCAGAAAAGGAGGACATAAACCATTCCTCATCTTCATAAATGTTAACACTCGTAAAGCATATGCATATCCAATGAAAAATAAAGGAACTCGTGAAGTGTTAAGAGTTTTACAAAAGTTTGTAGCAGAACATAGCCCAAGTACTTTAACATCAGACCAAGACAGTGCATACCTCAGCAATGAAATCACAGAATTTCTCATTAAGCATAACATAACTCACTACACTACTGAAGACCATAACCATAACATACTCGGCATCATAAACCGCTTCATAAGAACTCTCAGAGATTTAAATCAAGAGCGAGACTTTACCGAAGAAACAATGAAACATTTTCTCGAAGTATATAATTCCTCAACACATTCTACAACAGGACATACACCAAATTCAATGACACAACAACAAGAAGAAAAGTATATACAAAAGAAACGAAGCCAAACACAAAATATCAGAAATTCAACACAATTTACCCTCATTCCTGGTACAAAAGTTCGTGTAGTTCTTGACGACAAACCGTTGACAAAGAAACGTTTAAGGTTAAGTAGAAACTATTATATCGTAGACTCTACGCAAGGTAATGGATATCTTATAAAAGCTGCTGACGACTCCATAGCATTTTACCCTCGACATAAATTAGTTGAAAGTAGTAATGGCAAACTTGCTGAAACCATTGACGAAGCAAAGCGAGGAGTGGTTATTGAAATACTTGGCTACAACACAAACGATGACACTTATAAAGTAAGATATGAAGGAGGCGTTGAAGATGTTATACCATCTAAGAACTTGAGAGAGTCAAAGCCAACTCATCTGGGACCATTAGAGCGGGAGTACTGGAAAGACAAAAATATGCCAGAAAGAATAAGAAAATTCTTCTAAACTTTTTCATTAGATGTAAATCAGACATGAATGAGAACAGTCATGGAATTATTAATGTTTTCATAAATTTACACCAAAAATAATGTTTATGTTAGAATGTTAGATCTAACACGTTTTCTAACCACTTTTCTAACATGGTCTAAAACTCTCGAAAATCATGAATTTTTGACATTTCCTTATGAAAGAAAAATAACGCTAATTTTTTTCTAAGAAAAATTTTTATCTTGTATGTAAAGATATGATTTCAACAATCGGCACAACAACAATTCAAACTACAGCACCAAACTCGTTAGTCATGAATCCAACATCTATGTTAGTAGAGATGAAAAGCTTCATTCCTTCTTCATATACTTTCGAAACAAAAATCCAGAAGATAAAGCAAGAACTTTTAACAAGTAATTTAGACTGTAGTGCGAAAGATGAAACAAATGAACAGTATCTTTATGAAATGCAGGACATTATTGACCATTTACCCAAATTGCCTGAAATCCAACAACAAAAACTAACTATTCCTGAATTCGACGAAATTGAAGTCAAAACAACTGACTCAGTAGAAATAAAGAAGTTCATACGTAAAGTAAATTATGAATTCCTTGGTTTTCATTGCAACCATAAAGTTATGGACAAAGATTGCGACATGGTTTATAAGAATGTTTCTGACATATATAAATCTGAAGAATTTAAGACCTACGATAACTTTGTTTCATTAGTTGCTGAATGTGTTTGGGAAATAAGAGATAAAGATAGAAGAGGCAAAGTATGGAACGAACAACTAAGACCCGCTATGTTTGAGATGAAGAGAGCAATTGACGCCTTAGTTGTTTTAGCAGGTCAAATTTCAATGTATAACGCAAAAATGAACCCGCAATGTTCAAAATGTAAGGCAGCGATGAGGAAATATAACTACTCGTCAAAGAGATAGAAAGAATGAGAAACGACTATGCAGATTTAAAGAAAGAAGTAGAAAAGCCAGCAGAAGATAAAATGGACATGTTAGCATTTCTGAACAAAAATTATCCAACTGCTGACGATTTCCTTCTATCTGATCAAGAAGAAATATAAAGAAACCTTCGGCATTGTTAAAACATTCGATGTACTAAAAGAAGAAATAGAAGCTACAAAACTGTTTAAAGTCATGAACCATCGCAACATATACCATGTAAAACGCTTGTAAATAGTTATGTTAGAAAAGAGGTTAGAAAACGTGTTAGATCTAACATGCTAACATAAACATTATTTTTGCTGAATTCAGCACAAAATTCTGAGTAAAATGACATATGGCACGTGTCAAACCGTTGAGTTTTCACAAATTTTTAAAAATTGCTGCGGAAAGTTCGTCAAAAAAGTGAAGGTTCCCGACGGTTTCAAACCGCCATACTTTACATGAAGATAGTTTACAATGTCAACTAAATATCATGTACGATAGAAACGGTTATGTAAAGTTTACATTTTGTAAAGTTTTGTCCTGATTCAAGACAAGTCTTGTATTTTTTCAGAACAAGTCTTGTATTTTTTCAGAACAAGTCTTGTATTTTTTCAAGACAAATCTTGTCCTGATTCAGAACAAGTCTTGCACTTTTTCAGGAAATCCTATCGTCTAACTTTACAAATGTCACTTTTTCGACATGATTGCATTTTGGTCGGGGAACAACTTTCTCCCATTTTGTCACTTTTTTCTATCGTCGTGTTTTGTCACTTTTCCCTCAGGGTGTGTGTCAGAAAATATCCAAAATCTTTATAGCCTCGTATCTCCTTCAATTCTTGACGGCTTGACATGTATGACACACCATTCAATTCAGAATTATGTGCTGAATCTTATGACCTTCATTTGTTCGTGACTTCTTTTCACATATGTAACCCTGAATTTTTAACATTTCTTTAACACAGAAAAATAATGTTAGTTTTATTTTTATTTATTTTTTTATTTTGTATGTAAAGACAGTAATGTCAACATTAGAGAACACAACAACAGTTATAGTCCATGAAGCCATAAATGAAGAATACGAGTGGGTTCAGTTTAACAAACAACTCCGTCTCATTCGTTCGGTCAAAGACGATATGTACCAAATGCAAAGTATTTTGACAGCATGTTTTGCTCCAGACACTAAACACGCAGACGACTGGTTCAAAAACCAAAGCACACAAGAACTTTTGAGTGAAGCACAGCGAGACCGACTTCCTTCGGGGTCGCCTAAAACTCATGAAAACAGTGAAATTTCTCTAGACCGACTTTTATCGGTCTTGCATAAAACACATGAAAATCGTAAAAATTTGCCAATAAATTTAAGAGGTTGGTATGTACATAGACTTCTTGTAAATGCTGTTGCAATGTGGGCTTCTCCTCGTTATGCATGGCATGTTTACAGACTTCTTGACGAAATTCATAGACAAGAACGTGGAGAGATGGAAAAGAAACTTCAAGCAAAAGATGAAGTCATTGAATCCAAAGACAAAAGCATACAGAAAAGAATACCACGTTCGGTACCAAAAGGAAAGGAAAAGAGTTATAAGTATATGATATATACTGAAGAGTTGGAGAAAGAAGAAGATAGAGATATGGTTATGTTGCATTTAGTCAGAAGAAACAACAAAAGCTTTTATGACCTTGCTAAGATTTACAAATCTGACAGAAACTGGTTCTATCGTGAAAACTTACCGATTTCAATGACACCGAATGAGCAAATAAAGGAAATTGTCAAAAATACTCTTCCTCAAACACACTATGACATCAAAGGTTGCACAATACTTACATTCAAAGAAGACTTAACATTACTGAAGGAAAAAATAACAGAATATTTCGATAACTTCAAAGAGGAAGAATAAAAAAATCTAAGCTAATTTTATTTTTTTTATAAAATTTTATCTCATATGAAAGAACATGAATTTAGAATATTCGGAACTCATGACAGAAGAAGAGAACGAACAACATGTAAAAGATTATGCAAAATTTCTGAAGACATACAAAGCATTTAAACAATATCTAAATGCTTCTAAAGATTATGCAAAATTTCTGAAGGTATATAAAGCTTATGAAAAAGCGTATGAAAAGTTTATACATTGGGGAATTGTTGTAAAATATCGATATGAAGACTAACCAAAAATATATTTTTGCTTAAATGACGTCAGGGTCAATTTCTTCAACCATTTCACTTCCTTCGTCAATGTCAATAGAAGCTTCTTCAACCTTTGGTAAGAACTTTTGTATAACATCTTTGTTCGTTATTGTTTTCAGAGATGAAGAATAATATTTCACATTTGTTTCACCCTTCTTATATTCTTTCTGTTCGGAAAGATTCATAGCAATACTGAAGAAGTCAATATTAGAGTTCTTTATAACAGTATAATGAGTATCTTTGACATTCACGAAGAAACTCTTTTGTTTCAAAACTACTGCTAACTCTTGTGAAGTATAACGTTTGCGGTCAATGACAATAGCTAATGGTCTGACATACTGACCAAACTTAGATTCTTTCACAAACTTCTTGTTAAAGATAACATTGACGTTTGAAGCATTATTGAACTCATTCTTGATGACAGTAGCGAGAGCATTGTATGAAAAGAACTTGCAATCTTGCATGTGTTTCATTAAAATAAAAATATTAAATTATTTTGAAAAATAACTTAAAAAAATCTAATCTAATTTTTTCAAAAATATTTTTTTTATTTCCTACTAAAGATGTATCGGAAGTTGTCTAAGTTAGAACACTCGGAAATAAAACAACTTCTTACAGAAGCTAACATAGAAGTAGCAAAACATTACACAACAAACAAAAAGGCACTCGCTGACATCCTCAATGACTATAATGGTGAAATAACTTATGATAGAATTCATGAGTTCATAAAGCCGCAACGCGGCGAGGACGAAGTCCATGCAAGAGCATTTCCTTTAAATGACGTTGCTATTGACTTATATCATAGACGTTCAATACCTCATGAAGTAAGAAGAGAAATGTTTGACATAACAAATGCAAACGTTGGTGAAACAAGAAGAAGAGACGACACACTGAAACAACAGAGAAGAGAGATGTTTAAAAGTGCTATAGAACAAGTTCGCAAAGCTAACGATGTCATTCGTTCCATTGACGACAAACCAAAAGAAGGTGAGAGATGGTTAAAGAAAGATGAAGAGAATAGGAAGAGAAATGTGAAGTCAGGCAATAGACTCATTGACTTTAACATCGAAGCTTTAGATGAACCAAACAGAGACTACTTACACAAACATTTTGGTAAGGTTTTCATGAGACTCTTAGAGAAAATTAAAATAAACTCCAACAGAGATGGATGGTATGTTATAAACTTGGTGGAAAGTATGAATGTTCTACGTTAAACCTCAATAATATTGGAACATTACTACATCAGCTCTTGAAGGAGAACTTTATATCAGAGATAGAAGCAAATGCTGCAGGTATTGTTGAAATGCACTATGACTTCTTCTTGACAAACATAAAGAATCTTACGAAATAAAGATGTATGATTTAACAGAATATGAAGGCTTAACGATGTCAGATGTAAAGAAAGGCAAACCAAAAAAGAGACCATATAGAGATGAAAGCACACTGACAAATGACCAGAAAGCCATTTTGGAAGCTCTTAAGCAAACAGGAAACCCAGCACTTATAGAAAGCTTTTGGAAAGATAATGGTGAAAAGAAGTTTTATAAGAAGAGAAGCGGTCAGTTCTGGAAGTATCTTTGCATTACCTATAAATCTTGAACGCTACCAAATCTTCAATGAACTGAACAAAAGAACTGCAACACTTATGACAGAGGACAATTGTTTCGTTTATGCTTGCATTCAGGCTGGAGTAAATGAAGAAACTATTGACCACATGAGAGAAGTCATTCGTGTTAGAGACTTTCCTCAAAGTAAAGTACAAGAAATTTCTGACGCAACAGGTATAGCATTTAATGTTACCATTGGTTATTTCAATGACTCAAGACATAATGAAATAAAGAGATATATACCAAAAGAATGCGAAACTGTTAGAACTATTGACTTACTTCTTGTTGAAGACCACTACATGCTAAATGAAAGACTTCCAATGACAACATATTTCATTCGAAACTATAAGAAATCTTCAAAGTGTGGTGGAATGAACATTGAGAAACAGATGAAGATTTATACAAAGAGAGAAGATAAATATGTAGTTCGTTATGATAGAACAACACCGTTATGGGATGTTATGAAAACATTGTGGGAGTGCAAATATTTCGAACCTATTTCTTATGGAGAACTTTTCACATATACTACTGACTTATATAAACAGAACCTTGCACCATTTAAAGATTTGACATATGCTCCAAAGTATTGTGTACAACTGAAGAAGAAAGCAGAGTCAAAAGAAGTAAATAAAGCTAAATGTAAATTCATACCTGAGCACGTTTTCTTTGCTGACTTTGAGTGTAGTACGGATGGCTTTCATAAAGCTTTTAACATCTGTTATGACAGTGAAGATGGTTCAGTTAGTGAAAGTATTTGGGGTCAAAACTGTGCAACAGAATTTTTGGAAAGACTTCCTGACAAGAGTTTAATATATTTCCATAACCTCAGTTATGACATAAACTTCATCTTAAGACACATGACAGAAGTGAAAGGAACTCCCATCATTAAAGGTTCACGAACAATGCAAATAACTGGTTTATATAAAGGACGGGCAATTATTATAAAAGACTCTTACAGTGTTATAAATAAGAAGCTTAAACTATTTCCTGCTATGTTTAACTTACAAACAGGACCGAAAGAAGTATTTCCATATAACTACTACAGCAGTGTTTTGTTAGCAAATGACAACAGAACTGGTGTCATTTCTGAAGCATGTAAGTTTATCCATGATGCAGATACATTTATGAAGAACATAGATTCCATCAAAGGTTGCAGAATAGATGAAAACCACTTCGACTTAGAAAAATATAGCACGTTTTACTGCAAACAAGATGTAAGAATTTTAAGAGAAGGTTTTGTAAAGTTCCGCAATGACTTATTGAAAGAGTTTGATTTAAACGTTTATGACTACGTTAGTATTTGTTCTATTGCTAACAAATTGTTTGAGAACAGAGTATACTTCCCGAATGGAAATCTTTATGACCTCTCAAATAAACCAAGAGAATTTATTTCGAGATGCATTCAAGGTGGAAGATGTATGTTGTCAGATAACATGAAACAAAAGAGCAAAAAGAAACTCATTGCTGACTTCGACACTGTTTCATTATATCCTTCAGCTATAGCAAGACTTTATACTTTAGAAGGTATTCCAAAAGTATTGAAGGAAGAAATGTTAAGCACAGAGTATCTCATGAGACATTTATTCGATGACGACCAAAAGGAACCCATTGGTGAAAAGTTTATGTCTGGCTTCTTTGTTCTCATTAAGATAACAGAGATTGGTATACCCAGACACTTTCATTTAATAGTTTGCGACCCTGAACTAAATCCAGAACTTAACGTTCCAAGAAGTTCAAACACTTGCTGTCTCATGTATGTTGACCATATAACATTACAAGACCTCATAAAATATCAAGGTGTCAAATGTGAAGTGTTGCAAGGATACTATTACGATGGAAACAGAGATATGAGAATAAGAGATGAAGTAAAGAAGTTGTTTGAGTTAAGGTTAAAGTATAAGAAAGAAGAAAACCCCTTACAAGAAATTATAAAACTCATTCTGAACAGCATTTATGGCAAAACTATTCTATCTCCTATTGAGTCAAAAATAACCATAGTAGATGACAAAGATGCTATAAGATATGCTATAAGAAATTACAACCATATAGTGAAGTTCGAAGGTTTGGATGGTTCAGATAAAACTATTTTCAAGCTAACGAAAAGCATTTGCAGACACTTTAACTTCTGTCCACTTGGTGTTAATATTCTGTCTATGTCAAAACGTATTATGAATGAAGTATTCTGTACTGCAGAGGACATGGGACTTCAAATCTTTTACCAGGATACCGACAGTATGCACTTATATAATGAAGACATCCCAAAGCTTGCAGCAGAGTTTAAGAAGAGATATGGTCGCGAACTTATAGGAAAGAACCTTGGTCAATTTCATAGCGACTTTGCAGAAATAACACCTGGAAAACAAAGTTTAGCTTATAAAAGTATTTTCTGTGGAAAGAAGACCTACATAGACTTACTCACTAACGATTTAAATGAAGTTGCATTTCACTGCAGAATGAAAGGCGTGAAGCAAGATGTTATTGCTTTAACCGCTAATGAAATGTTTCCTGAAGCTATACAATGCTATTACAATGAAGATAAGAACATTCACATACCTGTTGGAACATATGACAAAGACTCTGAGTTCAGTTTAATGAAACTTTACAAAGCACTTCATGATGGTCAAGAGATTGCATTCGACTTATGTAAGTCATGTCAACCTTGCTTTGCTGAAAAGTTCAACTTTTCAATAACGACTAAAACAAGCTTTATTCGTAAGTTGAAGTTCTGAGGTCATTTATTTTTGTCAGCAATGAGGTCATTCGTGATAAAAATAAAGCTAGCGTAGATTTTACAATACTGCGATGGTAGAGTTTAAGAGTTGTGCTTCAATGTAGAGACAGTCCTTCCCATCTGGAGGCAAGAACACTGGACATTTATGGTCATGAGTGGAGTACATGTCTATCCAAAACTCACGATTGAAGCCAGTTAATTTATAGTATTTAGGGTTAGGAAGTGGTGAAGTTCTTGTATGACCAATGAACTCATTTTCAACGCCTTTGGCTATATTAGAGTAAAGTATTGCTTGCTTTCTATCCCAAATGCCAGGTGTTACAATCTTTGAAAATTCATTTTTCCTCGGAAGCATTGCATCATAATTGAAAACATTCTTAAAATCATCACTTGGTTCGGAGATTTGAAATCTTATACGTAATGGATTTTCTTTCTTTTTAGCGACTTCATTGAATGGTGAGAATACAATGAATTGACAGTCATGAGTTCCATCTTCATTTTCATTAAATTCATAATGAAAGTCTATAAGTTGTGGCTGACTACCTTCTTCTTTCAGTTGTGCAAGAAACTCACGTAAAGGCTGTAAAGTTTGTACTTCAATATTGAACTTTTTCTCGAACATTTCATTAAATGAAATCATACATTGCAACAATGTTGTATCGTCTTTAAAGTATTTGTATATGTGAATGTTTTGGGCGCTTAAAGACTGTTCGTCATTTTCTATCTCGACTTGAAGTATAAAGTCAACCTTTCTGAAAGCACGTGTTATATACATAGATGTTATGCCAATGTACTTCTCTTCATTTATGTTCACAATCCAGTCTGTTGGAAACTTAAACGTTACTCTGTTCCCCTTTATTTTGACGTCAGGGTTTTCACTACTGAACGCAACAGATAAAGGTATTTGTCTATACATTTAGTTTGGATAAAAATAAACCATTTACTCTTTCTTTGCTTCAGCTTCTTCTCTAGCTTTCTTCGCCAGCAAACGTGGGTTCTTTTGTCTTCCAGCAGCTAATGCAGCAAGTTGTTTTTCACTAAGTTTTCTCTTTGGTCTCTCTGGCTTTTGTTCTTGTTTTTGTTCCTTCAGTTCGGATAAAATTTGCTCACGAATTTCTTTCTTCAATGCTTCAACATCTATGACACCTTGGGTCTTGTCCGTAGGGCTTGTCTGAGTCATTTGACTGCAGATAAAAAACTAAATTAAAACTTTAACCGATGTAAAATGAGCTTGTCAAAATCAGAGCGAGAGTCTATTATATTAAATGACGCAAGAGGAATACAACATCCTTTCTATTACGTAAGTCAGAGTAAAGATGGTAAAATATATGTAAGAAAAAGAAAGGTACCATTAGCGAATACAGAGAGCGACAACATTAAGGTGCATGGCAAGGGCGAAGCCCACGAAGCCCATATAAAACCTTCTGTACAAACTGAGCCACCAAAAGAACAAGAAGAAAAGAAGCCAGATGTACTTTCAATAACGAACCAAGAGCTTATTGCAAAGTTCGTGAATTTCATTGAAAAGCAAACCGAGTCAAAGAACCCTGACCCACCAGTGAAAGAAGTTGAGACAAAAGAGAATGTACAGTTCATTGAAAATGTCAAGAAACAACTTCCACCACGAATACCAAGAAGAAGAGTGAGAATAATGAAGTAAATAGATATTTTTATCTGAAGTAAATACATGCAGAACGAACAGCTAAACGAATTTACTCCAGCAGAGCATATTCATCAGATTCGCTCATATTTCGATATCATAGACAATGCAGTTCAAATTGGTGACACTAATAGAAAATATTCTGACGCAAAGATTCCATCACAACCTGGAACTGCTAAAGATAACACATGGGTAACATTCAATCTCTCACCTCCTGGTGAAAATATGTTGGACCTTTACAATACATTCATTACGTATAAAATGGAAGGTCAATTTATTGCAGATAAAGAAATTGGTTCAGGTTCCAATAAAACAAACCACCAGGATTTTGGATTGGTTTCGATGACGCTTTCTATGCAGTTGCTGGATATCAAATCCTTGCAAATGGTCGTATCGTATATTCTCAAGACAACGCAAGAGAAGAAGCATATATAACTTCAAACTCACAAACTACCGAACAAATAAAGAAAGTAGATGTTTTCTCAAAGACTCGACATGAAGATGTATGGAGTCATTCGGGAACATGCAGAACAGGACAAATTGTTAGTGGTCCAATTACAGCAGGAAAATCATTTGATTTTAAGCTTCGTTTAAGAATTCCTGTTAGAAGATTCCTTCCATTAGAAGCTATTCGATTTATTCCAGCTTTTGCAGGAAACATTCAGCTTAAAGTAAAGTTCAGTAGCGACGCCTTACAATGCACATCTATATCTGTAAATGATATCATTGCTTTCAATCCAACTCTTAAAGTTGCATTTGCTTCAGATTCAAATCCACCGACAAATAAATTTGTTCCATGGAATGAACCATTCACTATGATAACGAAGGCAGTAGAAGCTAGTGGAACAGTTACTATTACAACTGTAACCCAGCAACTATTTCGAACAAAGATGGATTTTAATGAATGTTTCATTCATCCAAAGTCATTCTCTTTAGACCCTAACATTTATACAGAACTTGTAGAACATTATACAAACGAGGCTTTATGTTTTCCTGTTAAAGTTATGGATTGGATTCCTATGGACGGTTCATTCTCAAAGAATACAGATAGTTCAAGTGCAACATTTACAGCAGCTTATACGCCTATTAATGTTAAAAGTATTTGGGCACTATTTAGAAAGAAAGACAACTATTATGTTAATTTTGAGAACCCTAAGTTTAAATATCTTCAGCTTTCCATGGGAGCTTATGGAAATATGCCTGCAGAACCTGAAAAATCATATGGACCTGTATTTTATGAAATGGTTGCGAACGCCTGCAATACAAACAATGATATGATAGGATTTAATGAAGATGTTATGAGGTCATTGGTGGATGATGGTAGTGTGGAACATAAATGGGATAGCTATGACAACACACATTTCTTATGTGGTTTTCCAACAGAAGTGGACTTTTGCTTCCAGCAAGGTCAAACATCTACTGCTCCAATAACATACAAATTGTCTGTTAAAGGACCTATTGAACTAGCAACTGAAAATGTACCAAAGCCACTTATTGGATTTATGAGGGATTGTTGCTTTGCAATACAAGTAAGACAGTCAGGCATACCAATAATAAGACTTGACGACTATAACTTAGCAGCTGACGACGGTGAGGAATAAAGGATGAACGTTTATTTTTAAAGCTTATAAATGAGTTCTTCATCAAGCTCTCGTGAACCTTCACCATCTATGAAACAAACTTTACCAAACGATTATGGAGCACCTATTGAATATTTCTTACGAGCTGCACAATGGCAAAGAGCAGTTTCACCAAGGTTAGGTGTTCCACCAGCTCCTGTCAAAAATAGCATTTGGTCAAGTCCTTATATAAAATATGGTCTCCCACTAGGTTTGCTAGCTACAGCAGGAGCAGTTATGATGTTGAAAAGAAATAAAGCAAATGTTGTAAATAATACTGAAGTAGCTGAAGTTAAACAAACTCCAACACCTTCGTCAAAACCAACGCCTTCACAAGCAAAACCTTCAATGACTCCTGAACCTATGGAAGTACAAACTCCTGTTCAAAAGTCAACTCCTAAACCGACTCCAACATTTAAACCAGAACCTACTCCTCAAATAAATCGTAAAACTCCTGCGTTTCCTTACTGAAAAAATAACGTTATTTTTATTTTATTTGAACATTTTTATTTGATTGAAATGACGACTAAAGTCACTGAAGCAATGAAACAAAAGTTTTTGGTAGAATACATTAAATCAGGAACTATTCCAGAAGGTTTTTACGTTCATCAAATGAAGGATGGTAGAGTTCAGTTTAGAAAGATAAAGCAACCATTAGATAAAGAAGGAATTTTGAGAAAGATTAAACTTCATGATGACAACATTGCTGAACTTAGGAAGAAGTTAGAAGAGTTGGAGAAAGGAAGTGAGTTATAAAACAATGAATTCAACAGACCCAAAGGGTCAGAGCCGCTTTGCGGCTAGGGTGAAAAAACAGGTGAAAAAACAGGTGAGATCTCACCACTTCACCTAAACATTATTTTTGTGCTATGTTTTCATACGTGTGAGGGTGGTGATATCATTTATTTTTTTATTTTATTTGGATGTAAATGACGAAAACTATTGAGATAACAAACTACAACGGTCATGAGTTCAAGAATTTGTTCTTCGTTCCTCGTGAAAATACATTCTATCAGATACGAGGGAGAAAGGGTAAAGTTAGTTTGAGCGTTTATGACTACAAGCATAATGGAAAGTTTATACAAGCATATGATACAAACGGTAAACGTGTTTCATTAGCTTTGTCAAAACTTACAGGTATAAACTATGACAGTGATTTTGACCTATATGAAGAAGAAAGTGAGTCAGAAGATTATGAGCTGTTATATGAAGCACAGCAATGGGAGGAGTTGCAATACTTTTGTAAGTGAGAACGTTTATTTTTTTACATTAGTGAAGTCGTTAGTGAAAACATTAGTGAATTCGTTAGTGAAGTCGTTAGTGTTGTAAAATATACGTTAACGGTTTCGTAAAGTGTCAAATTCACATATAATGGATAAGGAGGCGCGCAGTGCCGCCGTACCCTTGATATGTATACTAACTGATACAAACGGTAAGCGTGTTTCATTAGCTTTGTCAAAACTTACAGGTATAAACTATGACAGTGATTTTGACCTATATGAAGAAGAAAGTGAGTCAGAAGATTATGAGCTGTTATATGAAGCACAGCAATGGGAGGAGTTGCAATACTTTTGTAAGTGAGAACATTAGTGGGAACGTTAGTGAGAACGTTTATTTTTTACATTAGTGAAGTCGTTTGTGAAAACATTAGTGAATTCGTTAGTGAAGTCGTTAGTGTTGTAAAATATACGTTAACGGTTTCGTAAAGTGTCAAATTCACATATAATGGATAAGGAGGCGCGCAGTGCCGCCGTACCCTTGATATGTATACTAACTGATACAAACGGTAAGCGTGTTTCATTAGCTTTGTCAAAACTTACAGGTATAAACTATGACAGTGATTTTGACCTATATGAAGAAGAAAGTGAGTCAGAAGATTATGAGCTGTTATATGAAGCACAGCAATGGGAGGAGTTGCAATACTTTTGTAAGTGAGAACATTAGTGGGAACGTTAGTGAGAACGTTTATTTTTTACATTAGTGAAGTCGTTTGTGAAAACATTAGTGAATTCGTTAGTGAAGTCGTTAGTGTTGTAAAATATACGTTAACGGTTTCGTAAAGTGTCAAATTCACATATAATGGATAAGGAGGCGCGCAGTGCCGCCGTACCCTTGATATGTATACTAACTGATACAAACGGTAAACGTGTTTCATTAGCTTTGTCAAAACTTACAGGTATAAACTATGACAGTGATTTTGACCTATATGAAGAAGAAAGTGAGTCAGAAGATTATGAGCTGTTATATGAAGCACAGCAATGGGAGGAGTTGCAATACTTTTGTAAGTGAGAACGTTTATTTTTTTACATTAGTGAAGTCGTTTGTGAAAACATTAGTGAATTCGTTAGTGAAGTCGTTAGTGTTGTAAAATATACGTTAACGGTTTCGTAAAGTGTCAAATTCACATATAATGGATAAGGAGGCGCGCAGTGCCGCCGTACCCTTGATATGTATACTAACTTATGTTGGAGATAGTGCATTTGAAAATAGACCTCTTGAATATGATATTCAACACCAACCACGGAAGCGAATTGATTTTAATGAGGCTATCGAATTTATAGGAAATCGTGCATTTTATAATTGCTACACCCAATTTAATTCATTACCACAGCGTTTATCAAATATTTCCGCTTTTTCTTTTGCCAGAAATTCGAGAATATACTTAGAAATTAATTACGGAGGTACGGCACTCGAATTTTCAAATAAAACAACTCATATTTTTCAAAACGCTTTTGAAAATAGAGAATTTGGAACTATTAATATTCCAGCTTCAGTAATATATATTGATAAAAATGCTTTTAAAGGGTGCTGTATAAGTCATATTAATTTTGAAAATGGGTGTCCTACTCTAAGCAAATTTAGTTTTTCGTATGGAAAAATATACGAAATAATTCTTCCAGATAATTTATTAATAATAAACGAATCCGTCTTTTATGAAAGTTGTATTGATGTCATTACTCTGCCAAAAAATCTTTATAAAATTAGTAAATATGCATTCATGCATGATAAATTTGATGCACCACTTTTTCAAAGATATGCTTCTGTTGATCTTGTGTTTCCAGAAAGTTTGAAGATCATAGAAGATAAAGCTTTTTATAAAAACTATTGGATACATAATCTAATTTTTTTAACTAGCAATTTAACTATAGGAGATTATGCTTTTTATGGAATAGGTAAGGGAGCGCGTGATTATTTTTATAATGGAAGACGAAAATCTCTCTTTTTAAATTATGATTCTTATTATGTTTATAACATACCGGATTTATATGATATAAATTATTTAAATCTTAAAGATTTGTACTATGATACATATAATGGCTATATATATGTTAGAGAAATAGTTAATGATACCAAAGGTTGTATTGAATTAATTCAAGAATTATTCAAAGATGAATTTGCAAATATAACTTTTCCTCAGACATCTTCAGAAGGAGAAAAAGTTACGATCGGAAAAAATGCATTTCAATATGCTTGTGTTAAAATTAAATTTCCACCAAACATGGATACAATAAGCGATTATTGCTTTACTTCTTCTCTTTTGATTGATCTTGAAATTCCATCAACGATCAAAAAAATAGGAAATTACGCCTTTTCAAGGGCAAATTTTAAGCAATTTCCAACAGAAAACCTTAATAGAGATTTGGAATTCGGGAAAAGTTCATTTGCTTTCACTGCAATTGAAGAATTTACAATACCATCAGGTATATCATATATCAATCCTGGATTGTTTTCTTCATGTCAATACCTCACAACAATTCGAATTCCACAAGTTGATTATATCGGTAGTTATGCCTTTTTCAACTGCAGTAAATTGGAGCATGTTTCCATTTTATATGGTTGTAAAGAGATTCAAGATTTTGCATTTTCTAAGAGTGGAATAGAAACAATTTCATTTCCACAGTCAATTACAGAAATTGGTAACAATGCATTTTCAGATTGTATTAATTTAAATATTTCTTCCCTTCCAGAAAGTTTAACATCCGTTCAATATCAAACATTTTCAAATTGTACAAATATCACATCGATTGATCTACGAAATGTTGCATCAATCAATTCATTAGCATTCCATTTATGTATAAATTTAGTCGAAATTATTATACCAAGATATTGTAAGACAATTGGAAGTTATGCTTTCGGCAGCTGCATATCTCTTTGTTCTGTTGTGATAAACAAAGGTTGTTTAACAAATTCGTTCGCTTTCAATAATTGTACAAGCCTAAGTCTTGTTGTTCTTAAAGAGACATCAGCAATCAAAAATTATGCATTTTCTAATTGCTCTTCAATAAGAAACGTTGTTTTAAGTCAATATGTTGGCTTGGAAGAATTTCCATTTGATGATTCTTTACAGAACCAAATTAATCTTTATTACACAAGTTTAACTAAAAAATACTCATCAGATATTGGTAAATATATTAAAACTGTAACCGCACTTGATGAATACAATGATACGATATTTCTTGGTATTACTCCAACAAAAGTATCAAATGAAACAATGCTTGATACTATAAAGAACTTAGAATGTGGGGTAGATATTAGTATCTTTGATGATGAATACGTTGAAGATAGTGATGTTATAACTCCGGCTGTCATTCCAGTAAAGAAAAAGATATATTTTGATGTTCATGGAGGATTTGTTGCCTACAAAACATTTATTGTAAATGTTTTATCATCAAGTATTCCATTTCTTGGAAAAGCTAAATAAACATGAATTAATTTAATTTGAATTATTTATTCTTAGACTTTGGATTTTGGATGCTGCTTAATTGGTTTAAAGGACAAGTAAGGGCTATCAAGAGGTCGGGTACCTTAAGGTGTCAGTAATATCTAATTTGAAGTAAAAAGATTGATATACCAAGAGGGAGAAATTTTTTATGAATAAACTGAGCTACAATATTATTGCAGCTTTGCTGCATAGATATTGAGATTCTGGTGTGTAAAACTTTCATGGAAGACCAAGTGGGAATTTAATTCCGGAATCGGATAGTGAAGCAGCACATAGATTTGCGAAATCTAAAAGTGTGCAGCATTCAAGCAAATTGATGGTCGGTGGCCTCACTATCTGACGTCTGATACGAGATTATGATACTTTGGCGTATTGTTTGAGAAAATGTCAGAAATAATACTTTTACAAATGTCATCATTTATGCCCTGTAAACTTTACGTGGCAATTTTTGAATTGAAGTAAAGACCACTTTTAACCCCTTTAGAGCAAGAAGTTATGAGATACTGACATATCATCAGTGTCTCATATTCTCAAATTCATTTTAGAAATATGAGAAATTTTGTCCGAATAACATATCATTCGGACAAAATTTCTCCATTCTTAGTGAGAATTATAATGTAAGAGGCTCATAGACCTACAACATACCTCTCAAGCGATCATTCCCACTTGGAGGTCCACAAACTGGAAGTTATTTGTAAATATTTTCAAGTTTGTTGGCGTTAAAGAAGTAAAAAGATGGTAAGAAATATGTATTCATATTATTTACTTCTTGATCTGCAATTCCTTCTATAAAATGCCCAAAATTAGGGGAAGTTGCAAGGTATTTTCTCCAAAGTAAGGGCACTTTCAAGTGGAGATGGAAGGCCATGGGGTACATATTAATATAATATACCCCAAGCCTTCCGTCTCTACTACAAAAGGGAGAATCTTTGTCTGTGTTTGTTCCTGTTACTGCTCAGCAGTAGTCGAGTTCTTCCTAAATCTTTTGAAAGGATCTTCGAGAAGATCGTAGTCTTTGAGAACTTCGTGACGATATTCTATAACTTCCATTTCATCGAAAGTATTTCCATTTATGAGTTCCTCAGCGTTATCGTATAACTTAGTTCCGAATACAACTCTACGAGACGTGTATCAGTTGTATTCCGCTGGTGTTACTTTATCATAATGTCCCTTTTGAGGCATAATAATTTCTTCCCCATCACTTGGATGAGATTTGACCATTTTTGCATCTTCATCAGGCCATCATATATGAGTTAGTGTATTTCCTTTGACTGTTTGTTCAGGTACTATACTATATTGTGGAAAATGATATGTATAGAAAAAATGATCCTCACATTCTTTAGGTGTTTAACTACCCATATATAAAGCTAGGTTTTCCTATTTTTACGGACTGATCCTTCAATTGTGCGCAATAAATTCATTTCTTCTATTCCAGCACATCCTTTTGAGAAACTTACTGGTAGTTATGTTATCACCATAATGAACAGATGCTCTTTGATGTGGCAGTCTTTCTCAGTGCCCACAGAAAAACAATCTAAAAACTGATTAAATCAATGAAAACGTCTGTATTGAACGATGTATTCATCATATATTGGTCTGAACCATGTTTGACATATTGTGAATGGATTTTGCGCTGAATCTTAAGGCACCTTTGGCACTTTTTGACGCAACAAAAATGAAAAAATTCTCACTCGTATGATAACAATAAAATAATAACCATTTCCCTTTTAAAATCGTCTATAGACTTCTCTCCCAAATCTATATCCTTAATGAATCACTTTCATATACCTTTTAAAAATTTTGAATAGTTTATAATTCACTCGGAAGAATTTGAATGCCTCAGAAAATTCATGCGGTGACCTTACTTTCATGGATGGCAAGTTTTATAAAAATTATAGTATGTGAATTATCAAGTAATTTCTTTTTCCTAAAACAAAAACGTTTTTCACAATATTCAACATTTATTTATATTAAATTATAGTGAATAATTATCATATGAAATTCTCTATCGAAATTCTCACCAATTCAAATTTTTGGCCTTAATTTTCAATAGAATCGTAACATGGAAACTAAATATAAGATATTATATTTCAATAGGATAAAAATAATTCACTATAAGTGTTCTCAATTTTGCTTCGACTTTTGAAATGAAATATATAGTACGTGTGTTCACATTCAGTTTAAATAGAAAAAAATACTTTCAAATTATTTGAAAAATTTAACGAGTAATATTTTCAAAATATATAGTGCTATTAATCATTCCTATATTAGCGCTTTTATTCAACACACAGCTAAGCAAGAAACTTATCACTACAGAAGACTTCAAAAAGCTGAATAAAGGTAAAATCGTTTTAGAAGATATGTCGGAATATACAAAAACGCCCGAAAATGTTGATGGTATTGCAAGTGTAGAGTATGATCATTACGGGTATGAAATATTTATTCCAGAAAGTAATGAATCGGTATGGAGTGCAGATATTCCTAAATCATACATGTGTGGTGGCAATGGAAGTTATACATTCAGCGATGCACCTGTATATCAGATGGAATCTGTTGATGACCCTCTTGGTAGATTTATTGTTGTTATAATTGCAATTTTACTTGTCTGTGTTTGTACAGGCACATGGCCATTACTTATATCAATAAATACTAGAGTCGAGCGGATTGAAGAGAAGCAAGACGAACTTATCGAAGAAGTTCATGAAATTAAAGAAAATATCAGAACAGTCATTGACTTTGTGAAGCTTAAATGGATTTGGGGTAGAAAGCAAGAAGAGCCTCAAGAAGAAACTAAAGTAGAAGTAGTAAAGAAGAAAGTTATTACATGCATGGACGTAATTAAATACACTTGGTTACTTATTGCAGCGATCTGCATGCTATTAGTAGCACAACTCGCTGCTCAAGTTATATGTGTTCAATTAAATTGGAAGAGTACCACACGCCTTGTAAAAGTCAACAAATGTTATTTCATCAACACTTCAGGTTTAATTCTTGAAGAAACAAACCAAGAAGTCGAAGGCAATATTACTGTTCCTGACAATACATCGAATACAGTTCGCAAATTACTGGCAAATCAGCAGGCAACAGTTAAATTACAGAATATTACAGCGAAGGCATCAATACAAGTTGGGAAAGAGAAGATTTCATTCACTTCTCAATGCGAAGGTGCTATGTTTAAAGCAGCAAGTGGAGAAATTTGGAAATTATATCCAAGTAACGCATACAACTGTACAGATGTACCTGCTGTATACCTAAAGAAGCTATATACATACTCGCAGTCAAGATGCTCATTTGGTGCATGGAGTGATAATGAATTTGGTCCACCAACTGCCTCCGAAGACGAAGAAGTTATTGAATATTATAACAGTGCGAACGAGATTCCTAAGAACGGATTTTCTTTTGCAACAAATCCTTTGTCATTTAGTGGTGTTGTACAAGCACTCGAGAAAATTGGTGCTGTTAATGGAGAATGGACTGAATGCACAGGATGTTGTGGAATGGGCAATTTAGGAACAAGATACAGAAGAGCACGAGCATATGCATTAATTCAAAGAGAAGTTTGGTAGTACTGTAAACCTTATGAACATCCACCTCTTCTACAAAGAATTGATCGCAAAGGAAATGTCAGTACAATTCCAATTGAAATGCAATCATACAGTGATCCAAAGGCATCAAGATCTTATGGATGGTTCGCTAAAGGTGATGATGAAGTTGTGTCTGATCCAACATTTAATAATGGTTTTGGAACATCAATGTTATTCATGGAACAAACGCAAAAAGAAGCCATTATTGAGTCAGCTCTTTCTATGACAGCATTCAGACCTTATGGACCTATTCCCGCTGAAATTAGGAATGTATCAACAAAGACAAGTGCTCCATCTTGCAGAGTCCAATTTTCTGTAACAAGAGATGAAGGATGGTCTGAATTTTATCAAATGTGTTCTGATGTTGAAGTAACTGTTGATAATGGTTACTTGAGATTTACAACTTCTAGTATAGATTTCTGCACTGTTCCTGTATTTTACAAGAATCCAGGAATTGAGCATGTTATTCAATTAAGATCAGGAAGCCCAGTTACATTATTAGGAGCATCTCAATGGAGATGTCAGACGCAAAATAACAACAAAGGTTTGAATTGCAGTGAAGAACATGATTGGGAAGATTTCATACCAGAAAACTATAGTGGTATAAGAGCAACAATGCCTAACTCTATGATTTCGCAGTCATCATCTGGCGTGAAAATTAATTTAGCTGGAGGTTTGGCTGATTCATCAGACATGCGTGAAGCAGGTATGAGAGCAACTGTTAGTTTGAAATTATTTGAAAATTCTGCAATTATTTTAATTGTTGTTTTCATTATTTTATTGGTTGTTTACATCTACAAGCCATGTGCTTGCTGTGTACAATACTGCTGTTGCTGCTGCAATGGATCCAACGAAGAAGAAGATCAATTAGATGATATGGATTCAAGAAAGAAGAAATAAAATATTAAAGTTATTAGAGTTTATAAATTTTTAAACATTTATATTTCCTGATTGGGTTTAAGGTCGATGAAAAAATGAGCGTTTTTAAAAAACCGCCGTTTGAGAGGAAAATTGAGAGCCCCGATGTATACTTTTTGAAATTGTCAAAAACTTTGAAAGGACCAAAAAAATTTTAGTGTCAGAAAGTTTACAAATGTATACTTTCTGACAAACAGACTCTCAGAAAGTACTCAAACTGCGGTTTTTAATTTCCGCACTTTTTTTGGCGACCTTATGTAAACAATTTTGTTATTTTACACTTACTCTACTTTCTTACAAAAAAAAATATTCTTTGCGCTAAACTCTCATCCCCCGAAGACCGGACTTGTCTTTGTTGGTTTTTCCTAAAAGGGTAAAAAATGCGCATTTTTGATGCATTCCTAATTTCAGCAGGAATGACTTTATGATTTCAAGTTTATCTATAGTATCAAGATAGACAAGCACGTGTTGGAGCAACTTTATGATTTCAAGTTTATCAAAAAGTACCGCAAAATGATAAAAAATGATAGGAATTATGTAAAAAATCATTTTTAGGGAAAACATAGTTAATTGATATTTGAAAATATAAGAAATAGAAGCATCTTATATAAGAACATTATGATTTTGCACCGAGCGAAATTAGAAGTTCGGCTATTTCTGTTTATTCGCATATTTCTGCAATTTTAAGAGCGCTTTCTCCATCATCATTTTTTGCATGGATGTCTGCACTGTCCGAAATTAGAAGCTCGATTGTTTTTCTGTGTTCCTTAAATACTGCAAAATGAAGAGGTGTTTCTTTTTCATCATTTTTTGTAGCTATATGAAGTGGTGTTTCTTCAAAACAAGAAGTTTTTGCATCGATTTTTGCACCGTGGGAAATTAGAAGCTCGGCTATTTCTTTATTATTATTATGTGCTGCGCTATGAAGAGGTGATAATCTATCATCATCTCCTTTATTGACATTTGCACCGTGCGAAATAAGAAATTCCACTATTTCTTTATAATTAAAATAGATATGAAATGATTTTTGAATAGTCTATTATGCCAATAACAATAGTAAAGTCGAAAGCAATAAGTTATTCACCCAAAAACATTTATGACTTTAATGCCTTTGCTCTCAATCTTTTTGTTATATGTAAGAATCCGGATTTAGTAAACTCTTTGGTGTTGAGAAAATACGAATTTGAATGTTCAATGCGATTCTTTATCTAGATATTTCAACTGTTTATATTTACTAAGATTCATATATTATTTATATTTTTGAAGCTAATATTGCCTTATATAACGCATCCTAATGGCGTGCAACTCATCTGCATGCCAATATATGATGACAATGGACAATTCGAATGTATATTAGAGGGAAAGATTTATGCAATACTTGTAAACTATTGATTTTAAAATGAGCACACTCAATTTTACGGGCGCAGTTGCGCCCTTATAATAAATAGTGTCTTTTATATTGAGTGATAGATGTTATCTTTAGATTACATTTTAGTTGATATTTTTTGAGAAATAAACTTGAACATTTTTAAAATTGATGCAATGTAATGTTAAACTATTGATCGATTTTATTAAAGACTTTTCGGCAGAGCAGCAAGATGATAAAATACCAAAAGAAAAGGTATTTAAAGCGATACCAATCATCAGAAAAAGAGATATAGCAAAAATTGTATCAAATCTCAATGAACAAATGCCAGTAAGAGATGCAATATCGCTAATAATATCTAGCTACAAGTTTAATCAGGTGGTCATTGAGCAGATAATTCAATCAACAGATGATGTCAAATTTACTCGACAAGCAGGATTTGCATTCTGCCTTCAACTCCTAGCAGCTATTTACTCGCCAAGTGTAATTATAGATCACAATACATTCATTTTGTTCTTTAACGAATTCGAGTATATTCCTTCAATCAATTATTCAATATTTTTTGCATCTGAGTTAATATATAACATTATTGAGACACCAGAATTCGAATGGTCGAATGGATGCATTACTCTAATATGCTCATATATAGTTGGTCATCCTATATTAGGCCATGATGATAGATTTTCAAAAGTATTTGAAGCATTAGTTACAAAAATGCATTGTTTACAACAGTATGATCTCTGTCTTACATTAACTTCATCCCTTTATAGGATGTATTGCGAAGATTTTCCCTTAGCCTCGAGAGTCGACCAGCATCAGATCATTGAGTTTGTATCATACATGATGAATGATTTGAGCATGCAAGCTCTCAAAATTTTCGAAATAATTATGAAAAAAAATAATTTTCAAGTTATTCCTGTAGTTTTACATGAACTAGCAGACATATTCTCTACAAAAATCAACATATGTGAGGTTTCTATCAGTATTACTAAGTATTCTCAAATGCTAAAAGCGAATATCGAAGAAGCAAATTATATTCAAGGAATTCCTTCACCGCCGAAGCTCTTAGTTGAAGAATTCCCTATAGACTTCCTTAAATCTGACATAATAGAGCTGTATAACCTGATTTTACCCATCTTTCAACTTGATAATAAATTTGATGACACTTTGTTCTTGGCTTTGCTGTCAAACATGAGGGATTATGGTGAGCACTCACCCCATCTATTTGATTTCATCGAATTCCTCATAAAATTGCTCGAAATTCGGCCGGATTATAAGTTATTAATGGCATTTTACAATTCTATAGCCGATAAAGCACTTTTCAATCCAAACCGAACAATTTTCAGTGAAATTTCTTTGGTCGTTTTGTCTTATCGGAGAAAATTTTTGGATTTGATCGCAAATTGCGAGTCAAAAGTGTTTCCTGGCATTCTTAAGATGAAAGACAAGAACTACTTGCTATTTACAGAGATAGTAGGCTATATTACGACGCACAGAGAAACAATAAATTTAAAATTATTTGAAAACGAGCTTGTAATTGAAGCAGCGACCAACGTTGCAAAGAACATCACAGATAATTTATATGCGTTCTCTGTTTTGCTTGATTTTGCCCTTTCTTTGATCGCAAGAACAAAATCAATCTTTTTCCCAAAGATCGTCAACTTAATTGACATTTTCATGAACAACCATAATTACTATAGGTATATTATGCCAGTGATATTCAATAAATTGTCAAAAATTGACAATTCCAAGTCAATTCGACATATTTCCGAGTATTTCATTGGCCTTTACCAGAAAAAGTTCGAGCAAAACCTCATACTGAACTATTTCTCTGATCTGATCCATTGTAATCCTCAATTATCCCATCAATTGACAAAATTAATTAAAGATTTTGCAGAATTTCCACCGGAAAGTGCAGAATACGTATTAAGATTCATGCAAGTGATGGATAAGGACACAATTGATCCACAAATCCTTCTCCAAATTGGAAATTCAATTAGAAAAGTGCCAAATTACGTAAATAATCAAATGATCTTCCAAAAGATACTAAGTATAATAGCAAAGAATCATTATCTCAACAAAGAAACCAAATATATCATAGAAAGACCTTATTTTATTATTTTATTGTTTATTGTATATGGTGACACACCGAAAATGAAAGAGATTTTCAAAATATTCCAGGTGTTGATTGATTATTTGTTCGAAAATCTCAAAAGGCTTCAAATTGGCAACGTGGATTATTTTATTCTTTGTTGTCTCAGAAATAACTTCAAAATAACCAATGTCCCGATTGAAGGAATAGATTTCCCTGTCCTAATTACGCGAGAACTCTATGAAGATATCGCAAAGAACATTTTCGAGCAAATTTCAGTTTTTCAGAGCAACGCCATGGTCATTGGTGAATTTGCTCTCATATTCAAGAAGGTAAACCTTGAAATTGCACCAGAAGCCGCTAATTTATTATTAAATACTCTTTCAAGGTCAATTGTCTTCATTAAAGAGTATTTCCCACTTGAATATAATGATTACTCCAAAGTTATCGATGACTACCAGATAGATTTCAACAAAATCTGCTATTTCGATATTTATATTTCGATTAACGATTATGTAGCAGCTGAAACCGGTACGTTATTGAATATTATCACCATAAAAGACGATTACAACAACTCATTCCGCTTAATACTTCACGACAGCAAGATATTTGCTCGAATGACAGCCGGAAACATGAATGCCATTGTAACTCTGTACACAACATATCAATGGCAAGGCGATAAATACCTTGGCATCAAATATCAGCCGAAAGATGACAAAATGGCCCAATTTTTCACTTGGTTCGACGATAGAGAATTCGGTGAAGCTTCCTTTTTCATTCCCCAGTTCAAAGGTAAGAAAAAACTCTGTTTCGGAGGCGGCGCCGGCCAGCAAGAGCATTTCCATTTGACGCAAGGTATCTGTGGTAAGATAATTATTAATAATGATACTTTTACGTTCGATTCAAAAACATTTAACTTAAGTTTATGCGCATCTCGCTTTGATTTGCATAATTCCATAACTAACTACTTCGCTTATGTATCGCAGACCCCTCTGGAGCTCGATATGCTCATTCTAGGAATAATTCATAAGATATTCGTGTCAAATCCTGAGTCGCAGAAGACTTTTCAGTGCGTATTTGAGATATTCCAGCGATTAGTAGCAGCGCCGAAGAAGCTTTGTTACAAAATTTTCAAAGTTTTGCTGGCCATTTATCAAGATATCACTTTTCCTAAGCTGAAGAAGAACTGGTTCAAGAGATTAGTGTTCAACTTCACTCTCTGGGCCAAATGCGATTGCCAATCCTTCTGTTTTATTGTTACAACTATGACATCTCTTCTAAAAGAAGATTCTTTGTACAAAGAGATGATCTACTACAACTTCTCGTTCTTCTCCGAGTGCCTCTTATACTACAGACTTATATTTAACCGAACAAATAAAGATAAATTCCACGCACACGAAGTAAAGCTCGGAAACGTGACAAATCCTGAAGATCGGGCCAAATGTAACCATGTCATGCTTGATTTCATCAAAAATCTTGGAAAATATTCCTTATCAATTGATGATATCGACATTTTATTGAGTCTCGTGCATGATGCTGAGGATCCTGACATATTTCTTGGTATAATAAGGGATTTGGCACCAAATATTTTGACTTTGATGCCTGATTTCCCAAATAAATTTATTTATTTCAAGCCCCAAGACAAGAAATCGACAATTATATTGTATTGTCAGGTCCTACATGCCCTTAAGCATCCGAAATTGCATATTATCTATATGATGCTCGCTCAAAAAATTAATAATTTTAATTTTGTCGAAGAATTACTTGCAGACATGATTGAGAACATCCAAATCTACCCTAATACATTCTCTTTCATCTTAAGCATCAATAGATTGCAAGATAACGTGCTTCCTGTCATATTTTCGTTATTTAATTCGAAAGATATTGTCAAAAACATATCATTTGATGGTATCTGGTATCTACCGATTGTTCAGCAGTGTTTGAACGCTCATTACATGTTGATTCACGATTCATTTTATTTGATATTAGATTTAATCAATCAACATGAAGATCCGACCACAAATTTCATGATTTTGTTCAATATCGTATTCCTTTTCCAAGAGAAATCGCTCTGTGACGAGAAATTACTTTTGACATTTTTGAAAGCAGCCAAAAAAGTGAAATTCTGGAATTTTACTGACGAACTTTTTATTTGTAGTGTGTTTGGACTTCTTTTCTCTATGAATTACTCGATTTTGAGGAAAGATATCGCGTTATATTACAATAATCACTACGGATTATCGAGAGATTCTAGTGATGTGTCAACATTTGACTCGATGATCACGTTATTCAACAATTTCTCTGTTACAAACCTATACAATTCGTATGAATTAAGTCAAGATATCAAAGATTTGTGTTTTTCATATTATAATGAGCTGAAAAGTCCATCACAGTTCCAGAGGGACGTGAAAGACATGATTGAGAAGATATTTAACTCGAAATTGGTGCAAAACACTCAACAATTTGAGGAAATTACCAAAATTCATGATATTTTGAAGTCTAAATTCCTTGATTCGATGGGAGTAACAAAGAACCATCTTAGTTTAGAGATATTCTTGGAAAATCAATCAGGATTCGAAGAAATCCACAAACAAAAGAGTTTTGCACAAAAAGTTTTGGATAATTTCACTTCACTTATAGAGAGATCTTATTCCAGACCATTGGATTTCCCTCCGAGGTTCATAAAAGACAGGCATCTCTATAACCAGATACCAATCATCTTCAAAATGAAAAGACCTAAAAAACCTGACAATTTCAATATAATTGACAAACCGTTTGACTTAACCGTCAACCAATGTTTAAGGATCAGTCTGTTTTCGAAGAAAGATGCGTCGGTCAAGCTGCAAAATAACAATTTGATTTATACAACGAAAAAGAAAGAGCAAGTAATTAAATTTGACAAAATTAAATATACAAGAAAAGTGTCAAAAGATATTGAAATTTTATTTGATGATGGAAATACTTTTCTGTTGAGTTTCGATGACAAAAATGTCCAGAACATGATATATAATGCTTTCAAACACCCTGCTTTTGAATTTAATAACACAGAAACAAGTTTTAACGTAATTTTAAATTTGAATGAAAAAGTGTTCGGACGATCATTTAACTCTCAATCTTTTTATCCATTTTTCCCGAGATTTATATGTACAATTGAAGATTTGAGCATGTTGCATGATTTCTCCAATTGTACAGACTTATCTGAGACGCCGCAAATTTCTAGAGCAATTGGAAAGAAGTTGAACAGATTGGAAAAAGAATTAGAAAAAGGTGACTTCATTTTGTCAGATTTTCTATTCAATTTTGACTCAATTTTTGCTGACGACCATATTCCTAAGAATTGTAAGGATAAATACGAGTTCATCTACCAAATGAGACGTGTTCTGGAAACAGATGAATTCCGTCAAATTTTGATGAAATGGATTTTTAACCTTAAATGTGAATTTAAGGTTAAAAAAGTGAAAAGTGATGATTTTAATTTTCCAAGTAATTCTAATAAGTTGAAATTCCAGATTCCTGTTTCTAATCCTGATTTCGTTGCTGCTTTTCCACAAAATGATTTCTTCTTCATTTTTATCGCTAAAGAAACGTCACTTTTTCAGTTCATTTTATCACCAAAAAATTTCCAACAACTGAAAAAAGTTAAGACTTATCAAATCGAAGAAATGACATTCCAGAAAGAGAAGAATTCGTTAATTGGACTGACAAATGTTGGAACACCAAATATTTACAATTTTGACGGTTTGACAGAAAAAGAATTAAATAGATGTTTGAGTTATAGATGTTCTAGTAACAATGAAGAGTTTTATTATGTTGAAACTGGCTTCGAAGTCATCATGGATTCTTTGGAATGCATTTTCAAAGTGAATGAAAATATTGTTGATTATTTTATTTCTGATGTTTACATGATTATGGCTGTTGTTACTAATTCTTCTTTGTATTTGTTTAACATAAGAAGAAAGAGACAGATATTTAAGATTTCTCTTAAATACCAACCAACGAAAGTCATGATTTCGGACGGATTCAGTTTCTTGGCTGTTTCTTCAAAGAACAAATCGTATTTCTATTCACAAGTTGGACAAGTGATTAGAGAATATGATTATCCATTCGACAGCTTAGTTACTGTTTGTGGTTTCGATTTCTTCACAACAATTGATGAGAAATCTTTTGTTTTGACTGATATAATCACTGGAGAAAAGAAAATTATCGAAGAAAATGACATTTTGGATGTTGCTTTCAACAGCGAAACAAGAGTTGCTTTGATTTCTACAAATCAGAGTTTGATACTTTATAATTGTCCAGAGATTATTCCAATCTCGAAATTAGAGAAACATTAATTTATTGTTTATTTGTTTTTTAATTATATAATCCCGTGTATTTTTATTGCATTATTTTCTTTTATATTGTTTTTTATTATTTGATAATAAAACAAATTCGTTTAGATACATAATATAAGGATTTTTAAAGTATACTTATAAACCATATTGAAACTTTCTATCTCAACATGTGTTAGAACAGCCCAAAGAAACCTTGAATAATCATTCTTCAACTATTTGAAATTTGGAGAGATCTCATTTTCCTCTTATGTTACATCTCACATTTATTTTGGTATGTGAGACTAAATAATGCCCTTGTATTTGATTGAAGTTTATGAGTGAGACTTTACCTTTTCTTTCTTGAGAAAAGATCCGTATTTTGGGAACAAATATAGTATAGAAAATTCATGTTAAACCTGAAACTTTTGAAAGCAATTAAAATCATTCATTCAAGCTGAATAAAAGTTATTACATTGTTAATTTGATCGATAACATACTGTACATAGATGCATATAGACTATTTTCCATGAATCCCAAACTTCTTCTATAAATTTCTTAATTGATTGTAAAAAACTTTAAAAACGAATCAAAAAGCTAAAAAGAGAAACAATTCACTAAAAGTATATTTAAATTTTTTACAAAAAAGCTGAATCAAACCGAAAAAATATAAAAATATAAATAAAAAATAAATAAAACTATAAGAAATCTAATTCTTTGAGAATTCCATGTCTTCAATAGCGTTTGTTACGCGGTTCATCAACACTTCAAATGGAGTATCTGGAATACTCGAAATAACTTTCTGAATCTGAGAAATCGGAGCCTGGAAAGTAGACTGGTTCTGGAATCTGTAAAGTATATGTGCTCTTTCTGCGATAACTCTCTTCTTTTCCCAGTTAATCAGATCATCAATGAAATCTGGTTGTTTCGTAACAGATACTTTGATACTCTTGAGCTCAGCCGTCATGTTTGGAATGCAGGAAGCCCATGAGTTGTATTGATCTTGGATTGTTTTTTCGTAATCTGTCTGAGAACCATCTTCTTTGGCCATGTCCTCGCCATCCTTGCCACAGGATTCCCAGAGCTTGTTGATTAAGGCGATCTGGTCTTTCGTGGCTTGAGAAAGAGTTTGTAATTCGTTTCGCTTTAATAAAAGTACGAGGTTGGCAAGAGAATCGAAGCTCTTGCACTTAGCTAATTCGTCAGCTACAGCGAGCATCGCTTGGAAAGCAATCCTCGGGGATTTTTCTTTCATTAATTGATCGTAAGCATCGAGGAAGAGATGTTGTATGTGCTTTCCGAAAGCAAGGAATTCGTTGAGTGTAGGAGTTTGAATTGTTGGAGCTCGATTTGAGAAACCGATGATAAATTCACGGGAATGGACCGATGCGAAGACTTTTAGCTGGTAGGCGGAGATCTGTTGAGCAACGATAGTAGGAGGAGGCATTAACAAGGTTAAATTTGGTCGGAAGAAGATTTCTGGCTCATGAATATCAGGAGCAGGGGCTTTGCTAGACTCACCAAGTCTGATACCGTAATGGAGGTTCGGAATGATTGAAAGAACGCTGGCGATGATCTTTTTGTAAGTTTCATCGATATCGCTGTTATAAATTCTTGTGAGGAATAATTCGACTGATTTAAGTGTTTTGCGGCCGATAAATAAGCCGTGGAAATTAACCCACTTCTTAATTGTATCGATAATATTCTTTCTTAAGAAAGATAAAGATCCTTTCTCTTTCTTTGGACCTGTACCATCGTCGTCCTTCTTTGTGCCATCATTTTCACCTTCTTTCTTTGCTCCGTTGCTATCAAGGTTTGTATCTCTCGTTGCGCCATTACTATCAGGGTCACCATCGTATAACGTGACGAGATGCTTGAAGAAATGGTCAGAGCTTGTCATGGAGTGGAGGGAAAGGAAAATTAATTGCATGTCTGAATCTTTCATATGTCTAAGGGTACCCTCATGAAATTCAACAAGGAAAACAATGATACGCTTCAAGGAGCCTCTCCTTAGATTAGCAAATGTTGGTTGACTATCATCAGAATAAACAGCGTTAAGTTTCTTATCAGCCAACTCTTTCCAAATGTCCTTCGGGTCTTCTGTGTATGCGGAAGCAAAGTTATCCTCTTCGATTGTTTCGTTAGCGAAGATATGATTTGGGGTAGGCGGAACATTCCAAGGATCTTCGCGATGACCAATTGCAAGTGAAATAAGAAGTGATAAATCGGTCTTATTCCACGGCTGACTTGATTTTTGAAAAGAAAGTCCGGATTCACGAACTAAAATTTCGGCGGTTCTCTTCATTCCTATAGCGCACAAATGCTGGTAAACGAGTTCTAATAAATCGGAGCGGTAAATTGCTGACTCAGCAGTCATTGTTTCGGATTGAACTACATGAGAGAAAGACATGCCTTGGCTATTAGTTAAAGCTCGCTCACGCATATCAGCATATTGAGGATTCTCTGTTAAGGCTCGGTTAAGCCACGCCGTGCTTTCCTCTATAAACTGTTGCTTTGGAGCTTCTTCTTCCGTACTCATTTTTGGCAAGCCGAAATTTCAAACTATAAAAAATTGATTTATTATGAGAAAATAGATAAGTATTATGAATCCTAAATCTTTCATGTTATCTTGCTAATCCTTTCAATTTTGAATACACATTCAAAATTATAAAATAAAGCACAAAAAAGAGATTTTCTAATGAAAAAATATAATTATTTCGTTCATTTTTTAACATATTTAAAAGATTAAAACTACAAATATATGTTATTTTAACTCTATTATGGTTTTATTAATTATTGATTGATTTCTTTTTGATTTTTTACTAGAAAATTCCCAAATTTTGCATGAAGAGATTAAATATTTCACCACAATGGGTGGAAAAAGAAACAAATACAGAGGTATTTTCAGTACGATACTCACCAGATGGCCAAAGTATTGCTGCTACTCTATCAAATGGGCATGTTTTACTCAAATCTATCGCAACTGGTAGAACATCATTTAATATTGTTCATTCTAATAAAGGATTTTCAGTACCATCTATACGTTTTAATCCAGTACTTCCTAAAACTTTCATTACAATCTCTTCAGATGGCGTAATTAAAGAATGGAATTCAAGATCTCCGAAAAATATATGGACATATACAGAAGAAGGCAACCAACTTTACGCACTCGACATTCATAAAGCAGGACAGATTTTTGCAACTGCTGGTTCCGATTCTGTTGTTCGTGTATACGATGATAAAACAAAACAATGCATACACTCCTATGCCAGAGCTAAATACGACTTTACATCTCCAAGTGGACATAGTGATAGAGCTTATTGTGTCCATTTTGTAAATAGTGATCCAAATCTTCTTGCAAGTGGAGGATGGGATAACACTATACAAATTTGGGATTTACGACAAACAAATTCCGTTATGGTCCTTCCAGGACCACATATTTGCGGTGATGCAATCGATACAAATAAGAATTACTTACTTGCAGGAAGCTGGAGGACTCATGACCAGCTTCAATTGTTTGACTTTAGGACTGGTAAATGTTTGAAGCAAACCAGATGGTCAACAATGAGCGATGATAACCAAGCCCAATTATATACTGTTAAATTCTTCCAAGACGGCTCTCATTTCGTTGCTGGAGGAACAGAAACAAATCAGGCAAAAGTATACAATACAGAACAGTTTAATTCTGTTGGTTCTTCAATTACATTTCCTGGTGGAGTTTATTCATCAGCAATTTCGAAAGATAACAAGACAGTTGTATTTGGTTTGTCTTGTGGTTATGTACAATTACATAATGTTATATAAACGTGTTTATTTTTTTTTATAAAATAAAAATTTATATCTTTAAAACATATAAAAATGTGTTATGACAAAAATTATTCCTCAGGCATACTATTGCTATCTTCTGGCTGCTCCATATTATTTGGTTCTTCAACTGCTTGCTCTTCTTCGTTATTTCTGTTCATAAATGCGGCTCTTTCGGAGAGTGAAAGGGAACGGCAGCATGAGATAGTATGTCCGTAAATCACACGCCCATTCAAGCCTAGAACAGCGCGAACAGCTGATTCGTGGTCGATCATTTTTGCAAATCCGGAACGCTTTTCTGGGACAATTCTAGCAGAAACAACTTGTCCGTATTCTTGGAATAATCTCAAGAGATCGAGGAGAGTATTAATTGATTCTGGAAGATTTTTGATGAAGATATTTGTGAAAGTTGGATCTGTAGCGATATTTTGTTCTGTTGCTTTATTTGGCTGACGCATTCCACGATTAATAAATTTCTCTATAGTAATTGCCTTTCCATTAATAGTTGAATCTGCAAGCTCTTTCATAGCGCGATCACCGTCTGCTGGGTTTGCAAATTGCACATATGCATAACCACGTGGCTTTCCATTCAAAACTGGGATCTTACATGAAATTACTTCTCCGAAATGGGAAAATAATTCGTGAAGTTGAGGGGCTTCAATAGACTCATCGATACCTCTTACGAAGAGGTTACCTTCACCGGAAACAATTCTCTGCATAATGCCATGATTTGTTAATGTAATAACAATTGATTCACCATTAAGTTTTGTATAGTTGAAATCTCTTACTGCTTTCTCAGCCTCCTCTTTGTCGGCAAACTCAACAAAGCAATAAGAGCCGGTTGGCTTGTTTTTGAGGAAAACGTTAATGACTGTACCGCATTCCGAGAACAAAGTTCGGATAAACTCAACTGTAGCACTAATTGGAAGGTTTGAGACATGAATTGCATTATCTTTTGGTTGCCTTAATGGCGTACGAGGCGGTAAGGGCATCATTTTTTTTCGAGAATAGAAATTATTCTCAATTTCAACGGTTAGATTACGGAGTGAAACCGAAATCTCTCTTTTTTCTTGGTTGGCATTTATCATATCCTCATGGAAATAAGGCCAAATGTTTCAAATACTGCTGATCGAAGGCTTCAAAATTTTGAAAATTATTGACAATTCCAAAGAGCTAGAAATCTTCAAAACATAATCGCAAAGCATGCGTTTGCATAACCGAATTTGTATGGAAGGCAACTCTAATGTATTTTTCATGAAATCTAATGTTCTTACAGTATATTAGTTCGTGGAAGATCATTTGGGCAGACAGATCATATGCCTGGTCAGCAATTCGCCAAATTCATGCATAAACTTAGATATCAATTTTGAAAAAAATGAAACTAAGTATACAGATCAACTATCATTAATAGATTATGATATATGATTTTGGCTAAATATATCATGGCTTTCCTTAATTGATTTCTTCATGATTTCTTAAAATATTTTAAAAATCTATGGTATTTAATACAAGGTTTAAACGAAAATACATAACAAAATAAAATAATATCTATATATAATACAAAAAGGAGATTATGGGATCAAATCAAGCGTAGATTCAGGTGGAGAACTTAACATATCTGGTGTAAGTTTAGAACAATCCGAAGAAAGCAATCTTTCATTAAAAGGAGTCTGAACAATAAATGTAAAGTCACCATTTCCTGAAATTCCGATTGCAATTCCTTCAATGTTAATTGGAGTTCCACTTACTCGCTTCTTTGTTGTTCCATCACCAAGTTGACCTTTCTCATTATATCCAAATCCGTATAATTGATATTTTTCTGTTTGATAAAATGCTTGTTTTGGTAAAACAAAGAAAGATGAGACATGGCTTGCTATTTTACCATCTGTATTCTTTCTTTTCATCCCAACAATGTCTCCAAGCATATATAAATTACCTTGAAAATCAAGAGCCATTGAATATGTCGAAGAGCTGAGCATTGATACAATTTTAGGACAGTAATTGAAAATGCATGTCAACTCACCAGTCAAATCAAGCATAAAAACGCTTCCTTGACATAATGCTAAAGCATATTCAGAAGAACATGATATTTGTTCAGGAACAGCCGGTAGTACTGATTCTACAAAGCTATTTGAAAAGTATTTCGCGTAAAATCGGCATGTTTGCTGATTTAAAATTGTACAAATAGAATCTCCAAAAATACTTATATCGGAAATTTCGAGTGGAAACTTGTCAGGATGATTTGATACGCTTTTTCCAGCAATAAGGAATTCGTTATTTGAAGTTTTCCATATTGTAAAATCATTTCCGCATTGTACTTTGACGAATTTTGAGTTTGATTCAATTTTTTTGAATTCTTCTGCATTATCGAATGTTCCTAAACCAAGTTGGCCGTATTTATTTGAGCCAATTGAGAAGCAATCGCCTGAACTTGTTATTACACAGCAATGCTGCTGACCTGAAGAAATTGCAGTAATTTCATAGTTGTCATCAAAGTCTATAACCTTTCCTGCTTTCTCATTTTGAGCGAGTTCAAGAAAAGATCCAAATAGGACAACACTCTGAGATTTCTTCATATAAAATAATAATATTATTGGAATATATAGTAGTTCAAGCAATTAGTAGCACAGTTACTATTGTAATAAATCCATATTTTGAAAGTTTTAGAATTATCTTCCTTAATTTATCAATACATTGAATAATTCATTTAGTTACTACATGGTGACAATTATTTGCTAAAAATGAAGCTTTTATTTGACATTTTTTGATTCAAATTTTCCAAATTATGGAGTTCTTATTATATTGAACTTATAATTAATATCGAATTCATGTGGAAATAGTAATATTCAGAGAAAGAGTGCTTGAAAAAAATAAATTTTCGAAAAGTCAAGAAATTTGGAGGTTTCCAAGCCAATCTTGTAGAAATTATTGTGCTAATATTCATAAGGTTCATTATTTTCATATAAATGGACGACATATTAAATTCAATATCGTAGAAATTTTAAAGTTTACATATCATCCTTCAATTCGATGTCAGTGACTGCAGACGAAATTAACTATCTTGTCCATCGCTACCTCGAAGAAAGCGGCTGTCCACATTCCGCCTTTATTTTCGGAAGTGAATGTCGTCTTGATCAAGCAAACATCCAAGCAACGCAATTACCGCCACAAGCTTTAATTACGATTCTCAAAAAAGGTATGCTCTATATGCAAATGGAAAAGGGTATCAACGAGAAAGCTAAGACTGATAGTTCTCCTGAAAGCATCGTTTTATCAATTACTGAAGCTGTACGCCGCGAAGAGCCAATTATTCCTACAAAACCTCCTGTAAAGCTAAAGGATGCTCCAAAACCTGCCGTCAAGATACCAGATCCAATTCAAATTCCGCAATCATCTGTTCTCATTTTAGATGGACACATCGGAGACGTTTATTGCGGTGCCTGGACTCATGATGGTAAGCTCTTGGCTACAGGCAGCTCTGATGCGACAACAATTATCTGGAAAATTCGTGACCGTGAATATTATCAACATTACATATTAGATCACGCTCAACAAGAGCGTAGCAGCAAAGACATTGCCACATTAGCATGGAATCCTGACAGTACTCTTCTCGCTACTGGTTGTTATGATGGTACTGCGAGATTATGGACTTACAAAGGCGAACTTAGGTTTGTTCTTGGACATCACGTTGGCCCTGTCTTTACAGTTCAATTCTCTCCGGACGGAACTAACCTTCTTACGGGTTCTTCCGATAAAAAGATAATTTTATGGAATGCAAATACGGGAGAAATGCGCCAAGTCTTCTCACATCACAAGAGTTATGTTCTTGATCTCGACTGGCGTGATAATTCGATATTTGCTTCATGTTCTGGCGATTCTACCGTTGCTGTTTGGAAAGTTGGCCAACAAACACCTTTACACGTTTTTGAAGGCCACAAATGTGAAGTAAATAAGATCACATGGGATCCTACAAAGAAATTACTCGCAAGTTGCTCAGATGATAAAACAATTAGAATTTGGCGTCCATTTGAGCGCGCAAACCCAATTATCCTACAAGGACATACACACCATGTATATACAATCAAGTGGTGCCCAGGTGATCCAAAGATTCTCGCATCTGGCGCATTTGATTTCTCTGTCAGACTTTGGGATGTAACAACCCAGCAATGCATCCGCATTCTTACAAAACACACACAGCCTATTTATACTATTTGTTTCTCTCCGAAAGGAAATTATTTCGTTTCTGGAGGTATTGATAATACATTATATGTTTGGCGTACTAGTGATCAAGCTCTTGTTGCTTATTATGAGGCAAAGAGTGGAATGTTTGAAGCTCATTGGGATCCAACTGGAAAATATATTGCAATGTGTTTGGCAAATGCTACTGTAGCTGTTATTGATATAACTGATATTATTAACGTAAATGAATAAATATACTTTTTGATATTATTAGGTAAATTCTCTAATTCTTCTTTCCAATTAAATATCTTTCAAAATTTAACCAATAAACTAACTTTTAAATTATCTTTTGTTCGATAATTTTAATTTTTTCTTTGAATTTTGATATCAAATTCATCGAAAATGACAATTATTGCAAAAATAACCTAATGTTTTCAATGTATAACTCAAAGAGATATCATATTTAGAATAAGAAATCAGAATTAATCGATCTCATGATGATTTCATAGTTTTGTCACTTTTTTCATCGATTTTTAATTTTTTTATTCTTTATGGGATTCCTCTTATATATTCGCAAATTTTGCATCTTAGATATAATAACAGTAATTGGCCTTCTCGTTGCTGGATATTGCATTGAATATGCACCATTAAAATCTCAAAATTATCCTTGGGCTTACTCATTCATTGATCAAAAAACGAAATTAGGTATCTTTTCGTATGGCTACTTGTGTATCTTTACATACGGAATCGGATCAGCCTTAATTATTTTACTTACCTTAATTTTCCAATCTTATTCTTACATTCTCAAAAATATAACTTCGTACTTATTTTCGATTTCATTTTCATGCTTTGTTACGTCAATCATCAAGAAAATCGTCCAACGACCAATGCCTGATACAGAACAAATTTGCACTGTCGCATCCGTTGATGTTTGCTCATTCTATCTAACAGGACATGATCTTATTGCACAATTTACATCATTCCCATCACGCAGTGCATGCGAGGCAGCAGCTTCTGGTATTTTTCTCACAAATGTACTGATCGACTATTGGAAATCAGATTCAATGTTCTCAGCTCTATTTAAAGTCATACCAATTGTATGGTCTTTAATAGTTGGAGCCGTTGAAATCGTTTGTCGCCGCGCATATCCAGATGATGTACTTGCCGGATTATTACTTGGCTCTTTGGTAGCATACTTCTCATACAAGAACCTCAAATTACAGGGGATTTTATCTCCTGAGCGAAAAGAAGAAAGTCAATCTTCTATTATTCCTCGTTATATGTATTTATAAAAATAATTACTATCTGCTTCTTCATTCAAATTATTTTTAAAGTTTTTTGCATTGTTTAAAATGTATTTTATCAATATTTTTTGAATGTTAAGGGTGCGCCCGGGAGGATCATGTAAACTTCAGAATTTAGAACCTTAATTTTTAAGCAATAACTTGGTACCTAAATAAGGTAGGAAAACTCTAAAAATATCAAAAAATACAACTTGGCTCCATAATAATCCTGTCATGGTGGCTGTTTGTATCCCCTAGTATTTTCCTCTTGAATCTCTTTTTCTGTCGAAATTAAATTCAAATCTCAGAAGTAGAAGTGAATAATCGACTTATTACTGCTATTATACGAATAAATAAATTCATTAGATTATTTTTATTTACATAATATCTGTTTGAAGTCCATAATTCTATAAATTTTTCTTCAAAAACATTACAATCTTGATAGTTTTGATACTGTTTAATAGGTTTTTGGCACCTTATTTAGTATTTACTACGTATAGAGTCGATCTGAACTTAATTTTCGGAAATTTAAAATATTTATTATAAGTAAAATCTGATTTGAATTTTATGTTTAACTACTCATATCTTGCATTATCCTGAGTAGCTTTTGTAAAAATTCATCAAAAAAGATTTTAACGTGCTTTAATTTTTATTTTTTAAAATAATGCATATTATTATCTAACTAGCATATTTACAAATTTTAGTGCTTTCAAAAATTTAATCCTCCTCCTCTCAAATAAACGTACATCCGGGTGGCCTGTTTTTTGCAAAAATAAAATTTCATTTTTTATGCTTAAAAAGTCAGAATTTTATTTGCTTCTGGGATATATGATGGCTATATCAGATGCCCATTCTTTTTGATACTCAACATTAAACATAAAACTTAGCCGTTAAGGCTCTTCTGAAAATATTTTTTTTCCCGAAAAATTTTCGAAAAAAATCAAAAAATTTAAAAATCCCCGAATCTGCAGGGATTTTAAAAAATTCTTTTTAGTAAAACTTAAGGATATTGTATCAGATATATTGGTATGGGCAAATTCAATTTTAATCCAATATTCATCGAGATATTAAGTTAACGAAGCTTTCAAAATTAAGAGGGTAATCCTCCTCCTCTCAAATAAACGTACATGCGGGTGCCCCCTTAAATATTAATTCATTATTTGATAGTTTAGTAATAACAAAAGCTATTTCACTTCCGAGGAGGATAAACTCCTTGAGGATACATATAGCCTGCCTGTGGAGGATAACCTGGTGGCGGATACATTCCAGGAGGTGGGTACATGCCTGGTGGTGGTGGAGGGTACATTCCAGGTTGCATCGGGTATGGATAACCCATATTTGGTGGATACATTCCTGCCAGTGGTGGTGGAATTCCTTGTATAGCCTGTTGAGGTTGTTGTGCTTGAGCAGGTGCATTTATTTGAGCTTGTTGTTGCTGCGATTTGAATGCTGCTAAGTCTGTTTTCTGGAATGGTGTAGCTCCTAATGGGGCAATATGAATTGTAAGCCTGATCTGACCACCTTTCTTCACACCTTTCACAGGAATGAGGGAATACCATTTATCAACAACTTCTCCCAGCGGAAATTGGTTTATTGGGATTTTAATTAAACTGATCGGATCATCGCTACTACCCTTATCTTCATCTTTTAAGAATACTGTTAAGGTATCAATAGTAACATCTTCTAATGGAATATGAAACTCTTCATTCCAAACAGGAGTATAAGTTTTTTCGATAACTTTTGTTCTGTGAATATTTCTTGATGAATTCAACTGTAAGATCGCAAAGGCATCACACTTGCCAAAAGTGTCCATCTTTGGAAGCTCCTTTGCCTCAACAACGCGTACATGAAGTTGATACATATAATATTATGCAAGCAATCGTCATATCTCAATTTTTTGAATGAATTCAATTTTGATTACTATAAGAATTCGAATAATAATCTAATGAAAATAATATCAAAAAATTTTGAAGAGATAATTTTTTTCATAGAAATAAAACCGATAATCGAGAGTATCTATCGTTCAAATTTCAATTCATACACAAAACTAATATGCTAAATTTTTAAAATAAGTTTCATAGATGTAGCATGTTCTAAAAAATAAGACTTTGAAAAACGGTTTTCAAGTCTAAAATAAAATTCTCTTTCGCAAAATCAACTTAGTTAATTAATAAATATCATGCAACATTCCAAGTTTATTCGTTAAGTCATACGATCATGAAGATATTTGAGAGGAAAAATTTAAACTCTTAAAGCATTCACTTTTAACAAATATCATTCATAATAATAGAATCTAATTTCCAAATTTCCAACTGTGGTTTACATTTTTATTGATCTTGAATACGTATTCTGTTGAATTCCCAAATCATTTTGAAATAGACCCCAGAATTGCATGAAAATCATTTAAAATACACATAGATATTACTTGTTTCGAAGTTTAAAATCAAAATTGATAAGTTCCTAATTCAAATTTTGGATAAACTCCTGATTTAATGGCACAAAGCATGCACTTTGTAAACAATAACCTCGTTTCGAATTTAGTTTCGAATGGAGAAAATACCAACATATTAAATTTTAAATTTTATTTTTTTTCATATGGAATCTCATTTCTTTTCATTTATACCAACATTTAATGATATCATCTTGACATTAATGAATGCACTCTTAGTATGGCAATCAAAGCTAATTCAAAAGAAATTGTCAAAATCTTTGTTAAACATATGGCTTTGAAAGCACGCGCGTGTGTGCGTATGTCGAATATAATTATTTCTATTCGCAGTATTCAGGTTTGTGCTAAACACACCTTTGGACACCCTATACTTGTTACAGATGAAGGAAGCGTGAAAATTGATAAATTTGTTTGATAAAATGAATACTCTCCTAATTTTGTTATTGAATTTGGAATTTTTATAGAAGATAGTGAGAAGCATTCATAGAAGGCATGATCAGCAATATTTGTTAAATGAGAGCATGGAGTAAGGTCGATTTGTTGAAGTTTTGAGCATTGATAAAATGTGTACGGGGAAATTTCGGATAACAATGATCCTGTCTCGAATATAACAGTTTCGATCGTGTTTTTACACATAGAAAATGCATAGTTATTGGCACTGATTCCTTTAATGGTTTTAGTATTTTTATGAATAGTTGTGATTTTTGCATTTGAGGAAATAGATTCAAGAAATGAATAATCATCTGAAGAATATGCACCATTTTGATAATCAGGCATTTAACCTAGTAATATGTAGATGTAAAAACATAAAAATATATATTATTCACTTTTTTCAACACTTGTGATTTCAAAAATGTGACTACAATATTTTGAATAAGGTGTATCAAAATAACATTTTTTAATGTTTATGGCGAATTTTCAATTACACATCACACCATTTGCCTGGCCGATGGGTATAAGAAAATTCTATTCTTGAAATGAATTTTGGTTTGTGAAAGAGGAAATCATAGAATATATATCGGAACTAAGAAATTATATAATAGTAATCATTCATCATTAAATAATACTTGATATTATGATATTAAAAACCACTGTTTGAGTTCTTTCTGAAACTCTGTTTGTCAGAAACTATACATTTATAAACTTTCTGAGGAACACACGCATTATGGTTGATGCTATGATTTTATTTTTACTGACTGGTCATCAAAAAAGTTAAAATAATATACCATATGCAAAATATGTTAATTCGATTACCCTGAGTTGAGGGATTTCTTCCAATTCAATTTCAATTTTAGTTCCCAAAGTTAATATCGGTCATAGACTTCAATTTAAATTACACACCAGATATCATATTAGCCTTTTTTTTCATAAAAAAAATCGGAAAACCAATAAAAGGTTAATCGAAGAGTTGTTTAAAATTTTCCTTGCCATTTGACTTATCATAAGTAAAAAGAATGTTATCCATCAATTCGATTCAATTTATGACAATATAGCGATCGTACAATTCAATGTAAATTAACCCGAATTTTCAAAATTGTAAAAAAGAAACCGTTTTATTACAGTTTATTTTTGAAATCATCCTGCTTCTATGATTATAACTATGCATAACCAATCATTAGTGAAGCATAGGATTGCTATTAAATTTGAATTGTCTAAAAAAGTGATACTCAATATGAAAACATCATGTTTAAGTTTTGCTTATTGATGGTCATATTACAAAAAATCATTTGTACTCCTATTGGTGACAATGCATTTAGTAGAAGTCTGTTCGATATTCTTCCCAAAAGAAAGTTTGCATTTGAAAACGAGAATTTCGGAAGAAACTATCATATTTTGAAGAGATCAAAAGAGTCATATGCTAAATGGGAGCAGTATTACAAAGATAATTATGATGCAAACATCAACTTTCAAGAAATTACGAATTCACAAGTTATCAATATTGATAATAATTACTCAATCCACGATACAATATTCCAACAATTCGAAACAAATATCATTACTATTGACAACACGAACAATTATGTTATTATTTTTAATTGTCTTTTTGATTCAAATAAAGTTTATCAAAAACTCTTAATATCTCTTGATATCCACACAACAATTTTCAAAAGGACATTGATAAGTTATAATAGTTGCTGTTTTAGTCCAATTTGCAAAATTACTTGTAATTCTGAAAATTTTTCTTATTTCAATGATTCATCAGTAACAGGAAACTTTGTATTATTAGGTAAACAGCTAATTTTAAATCTACAGCATTGCCAATATTGCAACAATTTTACTGATTCATTTACATCGCAAGGCTGCATGGACTGTTTCAATTCAAAGAGAATTTCAATTCATTCTTGTATATTTAGGAATGTTTCATCATTATTTAGTAACTTTTTGGAACTCAATTGTAGATTTGATATCAATATGTGCCTATTTTATTCAAATCAATGTTCCGATGAATGTTCAATATTTTATACCTATTCTGATTTCTCAATCCATAATTCAATATTAACAAATAACAAAGGAAATTATTTGATATATTTCAAATATCCAGATCAGGACATCAACTTTAGCATAACTAGCTGTTATATATATAACCCAGATATCACTAATTTATCAAATAAAAACATTTCCATTGATGATCAAATCACAGCACCTGATATCAATTTGAGTATCATTAATTATCCTAAGAAGTATTCGTTGTGGAAAGGAAAGTCATTTGATATTGAAGTTGTAATCAATAGTTTCGGTCTCAATGATTATATCAATATCACAACAATTCTTGATGACGATGTTCATGAATGTCAAAATATACAAATAAAACGAATCGAAGAACCATCTTCATTCATTATTAGCATCAACATTCTACTTCGCTCTAAATATGGAACACACAAAATCGATCTTAATTTTGAAGGTTCGATCGGCCGAACATTCCATGATTCTATTAAATTCGAAATCATCAAACGCCAATGTCCAGTATGTCATAATATCTACAATGTAAAATTAAGACATAGACGATAAAACTCGATTGTGAAATTATTTTCTTGATGTTGTAAAACTTATTAATTTCTATCGTTTAAATTGATACTGTAATATTTTTCTCAATATAAGATTTCCATACATACAACTTTCAGTTAGGGTACCTCAAATCAACCTTTTTAGGTTTGCTCCTCGGTAAGGAAGTCAATTTGGAAAATTGTTTTCACTTTAGGAGAATATAATTTTCCATTTGGAAAATTTAAAAAGTGAGACGCGCAGGATTCGAACTTTTTTAAAAAGTTGATTTAAATGAATTTTAGTGTGGAATATAAGGATAATATCATATTTAAAATAAGAATATACTAGTTTAGGTGGTAATAATTTTTCGATAAATTTGAGAGTATGTACGTTTAGGGCATGAAAAGTGTCAATTCGCTCAGCGAAAGCTGAGCTAGCTTCGTTCTCGAAAGAATAAGGAAGGAGTGAAGGAGAATGATACAGAAGTTGACACATTCATATCATTTCAACAAATTTTGATCAAATTGAAATTCAATAAAATTCAATTCAATTCATATCCTTCAGTCAGTACATTGATATCCTTCTGCATCACAATGATAACTCGGGCATCAATAGTTCTACAACTAACTCAGAAAAAACAAGATTATTACTTCCTGCTTACAGCTTTTAAAAAGTTTCGATGATAAAAATCACTCTACTCTCGTTTATCGACATATGGTGATAGTAGGTAAACATATTCTTATCGATATTAATAAAAATATTTGTACGAAAATCTTATCCAATTAGAGAGTTATTCATAAAGTATATGATAATTATAATTACTTTATCTTTGTTTTATCTTTGAATAAACAATTTAATTTAAATTGCATAATATTTTTTGGTTGAAAGACAGGAAACTTAATTGAGTTTGTATTATTTTTATCGTTTAATTCATTGTATCAGTGAGTGATCCAGATATTTAAGATATTTAGAAAAAAAATTATTAATTTGATTAAGGGTATAGTAAACTCAAAATTCTAGAGTTTTGAGAGTGCCAATAAACTCTATAGGCCTATATATATCTATATTTTAAAGGAGAGGTTACGCCATAATATTTGATATTATAAATTATTAATTCAAAATAAAAGTAGAAAATGAAACTAATTTTATTCTAACCTATATAAATATATCAATAATCTAAAATGATTATAGTCTGAACTATATTTTACCAGATTATCAAATATAAGAGAAATGAAATAAGGCATAAAAATATCATAGCATAATTATTGGATAAATGCATTAATAAATTATTTATATCATAATGAGAAAAAATCAAAATAAGAAAATGAGCATAATAATAATTTAATTAAGGATACCCTTACGTGTCAGATTTTTTGCGCATACGAAGAAGTCATGCTAGACATGAGCTATAAACCTGAAATTTTAGC